AAAAAAAAAAATAAAAAAAAAAAAAAAAAAAAAAAAAAAAAAAAAAAAAAAAAAAGAAAAGCAGGAACAGACACTAAATTGGAGCAGTTCTTCCCAATGACGGAGCTAAACACCCTTGTAAAAGAATTTCAAGTTGAACGATTGCTAAAGCTGGACACACAGTCAAAGTCCGTTGCAATTCTTGGACGGATCCTGGGTCAGTATGCGGTCGTTGTAATTGAAAAGACGGCATTCAACGTTGATTCCATCAAAGCAGACTGTGGTTTATCACAAATTATAGACGCCGTATCAACCATCAACTCCAATGACGTTTACAACTGGGGGAAAGCTCTACTACGCCAAGACTTAGAGCAATCACCAGCAGCCAAAGTCAACTTGATATACCCCGCCACCGACACTCACATAAGGAAATATGATAATCAACAATTGCATTACGTGAGAGAAACTCCGGAAATGTATCAAAATTACGTGGTGCCTTATATACATACCATGAAGGGCGATAGAATCCAGTGGGTTTACAATATCTTATTCCATGGCAAGGAGCTGGAGTCCGTCATCTACCATGATCAGAGCGAGGACGGCTTTGTTTTGTTGCCAGATATGAAATGGGATAAAGTGAATCTAGAGAACTTATACTTGTGCTGTATTGTCAACAGGAAGGACATATCCTCATTGCGAGACTTGAACGGATCTCATGTGGGGTGGTTGAAGAAAGTTCGGGACAAAGTTACCTCAGTTGCATCTGAAGTGTATGGTATTGCTCAAGATCAGTTGAAAGTGTTTGTGCACTACCACCCCAGCTACTACCATTTCCACTTGCACATTGTAAACGTGCACCATCCGGGTTTGGGAGATGGAATAGCCATTGGGAAAGCGATTTTGTTGGATGACATAATTGACAATTTAATGCTTGTTTCTGACTACTACAAGATAAAGACAATTGGGTTTATCTTGGGTGAGAATCATGGCTTATGGCAGATAAAAGAGTATAGAGAGGAGCATTATAAACAGTAAAGGAGATTTGTGTAGAGTAAGCAATGTGATCTTTAGACTGAGTTTTGTGTATTGAGTGGTAGCTCTCTCTCTCTCTCTCCAGCATTTTATCTTCTCCGATGAGATGCGTGAAGATTTCGACAGTATCTAACTATTTGTAGAGTCTGCGAACAATGAGTGACGACGATGGATTGTTGTTGAACTTTGTTATTCCTGATAGTAATGATAGCAAAGCACCACTTGCTAACAAGAGTGTCAAAGTCAAAGGTGGGCGATGGAAGGATCGGAGAAAGTTGCAGTTATCCTTGCAAGGAAGAACAAAGGAGAAAAAACTCAAAGGTGTGAATGGTGTTGGTATTGAAAACCCCCGAGTACCAAAACGGAAAGAAGTAGATGAAGCTTCAAAGTCCAAGTCAAATGAATCAGTCCCAAGTGAATTCAAGCGGGCCAAGTTTTCCGAAACCAAAGGACAATCAGGCGGAAAGAACAATTCGTATGTCTCATCATTATTCACCAATAATGAAACTGCATCTCAACATGTCACTGATACGAAACCAACCACTGAAGAAAAGACGTATCTACCATCGAATGCTCCGGTAAAGGGAGCAGCTACATTCCTTGGTCTCGGAATCAACGAAAAACTATCCACTCATCTCACAGATCACCAGAGATTCAAGTACCCAACCAAAATCCAGAAATTGGTTATACCGAATCTTTTGACTACCCAACGTGATTTATTTGTGAAAGCACAGACAGGTTCCGGTAAAACTATGGCATTCATCTTGCCCATCTTCCACAAATTGATGATGGAGAATAGACATAAAATCACGAGAGATTCAGGTGTGTTTGCTATAATATTGACACCCACACGGGAGCTTGCTAACCAAATTTACTCAGTATTGGAAAGCCTAGCTCGATGCCATCACACTTTGGTGCCGGGGATTGTGATTGGAGGAGAAAAGAAAAAGAGTGAGAAAGCAAGATTGAGGAAAGGAGTCAACATCTTGGTAGCCACGCCAGGTCGACTAGCTGATCATTTGGAAAACACAAAGTCGTTAGATATTAGTCAGTTGAGGTATTTGGTGCTTGATGAAGGTGATAAATTGGTAGAGTTGGGGTTTGAAGAGACTATATCCAAGATTACTAGAATTATTGATCAGAGCTCGAAAATTGCCGAGACTAGTGAAAAATGGCAAGGGTTACCCACAAGGAGAATAAACATGTTGTGTTCAGCCACATTACAAAACAATGTGAAGCAATTGGGAAGTATAATACTTCTGAATCCCGAAATGATTTCAGTCGATAGGGAAGTTGAGGGTACGATATTATTCGATGAAGACACTGATGGAGGAGCGATGTCGGTTAGTAACTCTAGTGAGCATGAGTCGTTTGCCCCGGATCAATTGATTCAGGATGTATTGATTGTACCGCCAAAGTTGAGATTGGTTACACTTGACGCTTGTCTTTACAATATTGCAAAGAAAATCGAACAAAATGGTATAGCATCCAGAAGCATGGTTTTTTACTCTTGTTCTGATTCTGTCAATTACCATTTTGATGTATTTACTAGAGATGGAAAAAAGCTAAAGAAGGTGAAGGATGAAGAAACTGGTGAGATTAAAACTGTTTTGGTGTCACCTGAAGACAGCACTGATGAAAACGATGCGGATGACTCTGAATTGACAGCACCGATTATCCATAACAGTACAATGGTCTACAAACTCCATGGTTCATTATCACAGCAAACAAGAACTTCTATTTTACAGAATTTCATCAAAGACGATCGTAGATTTCCACATAAAGTTCTTTTCTGTACTGATGTTGCGTCAAGAGGTTTGGACTTGCCAAACATTGCAAATGTTATCGAATACGATGCTCCTTTCACCATCGATGATCATTTACATAGAATTGGTAGATCAGCAAGAGTGGGTAACAAAGGTGAAGCTACGTTGTTCTTATTGCCAGGTTTGGAAGAAGGTTATATCGATGCTAAATTGAAAGTTGTGCATCCACGCGAGGAGAACTTGCGTATTAAAAACTATGAGCAAGTTTTGCAACAAGCATTTGCTGAAAAAGATGCAACTGGGAAAAACAAGCATGACAAATTGGGAAATTGGGATATTCATGCAACTACATGGCATTTGGAAGTGGAGAGATGGCTATTGGAGGATTCTTCAGCATTATCAAAGGCTAGTCTCGCATTCACATCACACATCAGAGCATACGCCACGCATTTATCGCAAGAGCGGAATTTTTTCAATGTGAAGTTGTTGCATTTGGAGCATCTAGCCAAGAGTTTTGGATTGAGAGAAACTCCCAAGAACATAGGTAAGAAATCGGGCAAAAATAGCGATAAGCATCTTGATGGCATTGATAATGGTTCGAGAAGACCTAAAAAGGAAGATCCAAGGAAAAAGATGTTGAGGATGGCGAAATTGGCAATCAAGTCTAATAATGAGTTCAATTATTAGGATTAGTTATATAAGTGGTCTATAAATTCCTTGTAACTTGTCTCATTCTTCAAGTGAATTCCATCGGCTCCATCTCTCAATTGCAGTCTGACATTATCCACCAGCAGTTCGTCTGCTTTCCAATTCAAATGCTTCCAATCTTCTTCTTCGAATTTTTTCACCGATTTTAGCGAGTCCCCCAATGAATGACTATGAGACTCTTGATTCTGAGTAGAGTGTTTAGCAGCAGTTTGTAGAATTTGTACGTTTGCACGTTCTTGATTTCTTTCTTGCTGAGCTTCTAGTCTGCGTTGTTGCAATGTTTCCTTATCCAAATCGTCAATGTACTTGAATGAAGTACGTAGCTGAGCGGTGGAATCGATGGGGATCAAAACGACTTTACGTTCAAACCCATCATTGATGACTTTAGCAGCGTAGATACCTTGCTCTGCTGGGTCCAATACACCCGATATTGATTGCTTGTCTATGGTTTCACCCCAATCGTCAACTTTGCGTAGATTGAAGAATTTGCTTGAGTCTAGGGGTAGTTTCAAATCGAGGTAGTGTGACTCGGGTTTGATTGATGCAGATACTGGTGTGCTTGAAAGTGGACGAGTTTTGGGTCTCCCTGGGTATTGGAGAAGGTGTAGAGATTGAGTTGTTGGAGTAGGTAGTTGATTGATAATCAATGGAATGGACTCAATAATTGGATCATTGTCGTCGTCATTTTCGCTTGCAGGTTGCTGTTCCTGATGCGTTGGTAACATGACTTCATCCTCATCGTTCTCTTCCTTGATTGTGGTTGTTGACGGTCTATACCCTCTCACTTCATCATATGATTCATTTTCACCTACAAACAACAGACTCATTGAGTAAGTATAAAGTGGATTCTGAGGTGGATGCAAGAGCCGTATAAAGATCTCATCACGGGAAAAACAACCTTTTTTTTTATTTTTATTTTTATTTTTATGGGCGCCAAATCTTTGTGCCTTCTTCTTTAGTCGAAGAAAAATTTATACTTGAACCCGCCATCGAACAAAAAGACATTAGAGCAAGCTCACGTCCCAATAATGTCCGTAGCCGAGCCATTCGATATCAAAGCAACCTATTTGAAGATACTAGAAGATGACAAGGAGTTGACTATGCCCATAGCGGCAATTGAAAGTCTTGTTGAGATGCTACGTTTAAACCGGCCATCCACATCATCCGAATTGATCAATCTTGTTTCGAAAAACATCGACTTGTTGAAATCGTCGATACCGAACAACATTTCTCTCTCTGCTGGGTGTGATTTGTTCATGAGATTCATCTTGAGAAACACAAATATATATAGTGATTGGGAATCGTTTCTGCAGAATTTGATTGAAAATGGAGAATTGTTTGTTCAAAGAGCCAAAATCTCGAGAGAAAAGCTGGCTGAGTTTGGATTACCATTTATTAAAGATGATGATGTTATTCTCGTCCATAGTTTTTCCCGTGTTGTTTTCACAATGTTACTTAAGGCGAAGCAAGAGCAATTGACAAGGTTCAAAGTCTTGGTTACTGAATCAAGACCTACTGGTAATGGGTATGTGATGGCGGAGAAATTGCGTGAGGCCGACATTCCTTGTGAGGTGATTGTCGATAATGCCGTGGGGTACGTTTTGCACAATGTTGACAAGATTATAGTTGGTGCTGAGGGTGTGGCTGAAAGTGGTGGAGTCATTAATCATATCGGAACTTACCAAATAGGGTGTTTGGCTAAAGTTAATAACAAGCCATTTTACGTTGTGACTGAATCGCATAAATTTGTCAGATTGTTCCCGTTGGCACCCAACGATTTGCCCACTGAGAGCTACATTGCTTCTTTGAATGAGCTGACGGAGGAAAATCAAAGGTATAAGGAGTATTTCAATACTCAAGGTGGGCAGTTCTTGGACCATCATATTGTTGATTTTACCCCTCATGATTATATCACTGCCTTGATTACAGATTTGGGTGTATTGACTCCATCCGCAGTCAGTGAAGAGTTGATTAAGATGTGGTATGACTGAGATGGACTGGAGGCGTTATATACACTACTGTATAGAGCAAGTATCAATGGCATACGAGTTGTAGATGGGGGAAGGATCTGTCATGGTTTTTGCAATTTGAGTTACTCCACACGACCTTTTTTATTTTTTGTTTTCTATTTCTACCCAGTCACATTCTGAGTAAAAAAAAAAAAAAAAGAAAGAATTACCAACTGCACTCTAACCACAGACAGAGAGAGAGAGAGAGAGAGAAAAAAAATTAATACCAAACAGATAGACAGGCAGGCAGACAGAACCAACTGGATACAAGAAAGCACTGAAGCTAGTACAATACCCTTAACCATGTCCAAATTTGTCATCCCTACTGCATTAAAAGAATTAAGATTCCATCTATCACAGACTGGTGAGGCATCAGTACCATTGCGTAAGTTTCTCACCAGCAACTACTCAACTTTGAAACAACAAACTGAATATAAATTGCCCATTTTGATAAGGGAGAGTTATGGTATACCTCCAAGTTTAACTGCTCGTTTTGAGAGGGGCGAAGAAGTGAGAAAAAGCTTGGAAGGATTGAGTGAAGGACAAGTTGCCGATGCATTGAATGAAGTTTTGAAGAGATAGAGTGTGATGTGGTTCAAGTGAAGGGGTCTCGACGGTTGAGGATGAAGAGTGAGGAGAATGTTACTGGACGGCGTAATGGCAAATGTGTGTATATCCTAAATAAATACAACGGTTCAAAGGTATTACATTTTTGGCTCGATATTCTCGCCAACTTGGTAGATGCCCCAACCTAAACTACCCAATTCATCATTGTAGATCTCTTTGATATTCTGCTTTGCATCGTTAGCAATTCCACAAGCAACGACTAATGGTAAGAAATGTTCCAAGGTGGGATGGGCTTTCCTCAATAAAGGATCTTTTTTCAAATCGTTCAACCGAGTCAATGTATCTGAAGTTTTAGACTCATCACTCTCAACAATCAGTTTCATCAAATCATTGAAAGGCTTGACATAAGGCAAGGCCTTTGCCGTAGGGTTTTGTTGTCTATATTGCATCGAAACTCCCAAATCACGCAAGTTGTGTACTGACATACCGGAACAGACAACCATTCCCTTGAGATACTTTTTGTGAGCCTCGTCCCAAATGTCATTATGACGGAAGAAATCGAGTATTTGACCTAGTTTGAAATGAGTATTGAAATCGGTATCGTTGGAAGTTAAAGATACTTGTATAACGGCAATATCCGGTAAATCCAGCTCTCGCTTCTCGTGGAAGTCAGGCTGCCGGTCGGAAAGAGTGTTGTACCCACTGAATGCCACTTTAAAGGGAACCCAAACCCCATGATCAATACCACGGTCAGTCAATTCAGTCTTGAACCCAGAATCAGCCAACTTTGACATGATAGCGTTAGCAACGGCCGCATTGCTATTTGAGTGGAACTCTTCGGCATACATATGTTTAGGAAAGCCATAGAAATCGTAAATCAATGGGTTTTCTCCATTGCCATTGTTTGTCCGAGTAGTGCTTATTTCAATTTTATTGGATGCACTGCTTTGCCAATGCGCACTAACGACGATAATGTAGTCGGGTTTGTCTTGCTGTGGTAGTGTTTTAATTTGGTGTCCGATAGACTTGATCTTGTTCCAGGCACCTTTGTTGCCAAATGAATCGTTTTCGTACATAAATGTAGGACCCCCATGTGAGAAGAAGTAGGAGGGTAACACTGGTCCTTGGTGCTTGAGGTATTTGGAAATAGACGACATTTCAGTTACGGTAAGTTTTTGTTCCTGTTGCGTGAAGCTGGTGTTGAAGCAGTAGTAATAAATAAATAGTGATGGTAAAACTGTGGCCACTGACACTAACCAAAATTGCATGGAAGTGAGGGAATTTGGCGTTGTTGAGCTTTGCAGGAGTGTACCAGTTTATTAAACTCTCGCCATCTAGGCTATTGTATATATATGCCAGTACTGACTAGTGTGATGTACATGACTGAATGCACTTACTAAACTGAGTAATTGAATTATGTATACCAAATTAATAAGCCTTAGTAATAGGGCGCGCGATTGATGCTTTTGATTAACCAAAGTGGTAGCACTACACTCACGTGCCTCATGTCGCAAACAGTTGATCTGCAACACGGTCCACCATTTTTGTATGGCCCGTTTACAGTGTTGTCTTGTGTTGCAATGAGATCCTGTTATGAAACCACACAACTGGCTTCAATGCGGATTAATATTGAACAATTCAACACCATACTCATATCTCGTCTTTGTTTACAAGCATTGGCACCAATTTGCTAACCACTACTAATGAAAACGCTTTTGTCGTTGAATTTGGACCGTCCTTGTGGCAATAGCTCACAACTTTTGGTGCATCCATGAGTGTTTGCTAACAGACAATGGAATGCAGAGATGATTCAGTTTCGGAGGAAACAAATAATGCTCAAGGTTCAACGAAACTCAAGCAGTTAGGCTCAGGGCAAATTTCAGTCACTGGTTGCAAGTGTGGGGAAATCACGAGGCTCCAAGATAACAACTTCTAAAAGGAACTCGACTCTTTTCTTGCGTCATTTGCCATTTAGTTGGGTGTAGCCTTTAGGATTTTTGATAGAGCTATTTATATTGTGTTTCATATTCTTGGAAGTGACTCGTTCCACGAAATGTGTCAGAGATTTGTTCAATTGATTTAGGTTTCAGTTTCCAAACGTGTCAGGAGTTGTTTGTTGCTAGTTTAAGTAGAGTGCTCTATAAATAAATTGGTCATCTCTACAATACAGCTCTTATTTTCGATAGGCGTTGGCTTTGGATGAATCGTCCAAATGGGGCCAAAACAGTCGTCAATAAATAATCCCAAGCACAGCTTACCTCACTTTGACCGTGAGCGTATACTCTTCTTTGGCCTCTTGTCCGAAATGTTCTTTAGTGACATCTTGCATGAAATGAGCTTGTTATGGCACCTTTTCCACAGGTATAGAAACCACGTGCCGAGACACTGTTTGAGTGTGAGGTGCTTTGCGGTTGAGTCATAGACAATGGCCCTTTTGGTATAACCAACAACAACAAAGATATCTTGAAGTTCAATTTTCCACACGCTTTTGATATGCATTAACTGGTATGATTCAAAAAAATTGTTTGTCAATCTTGACTTGAATGTGACAGTTTAACCGCAATTTGTTCAAAATCCAATTTCACAAAGCTTAAATCAAGCTCTACTAAATTTTGGCATTTGGTAAAGTAGCTCACCAATATCATTGATAGTAGTATCGGGTCCAAAATAGTGGAAAGCGAATATCTGCACCTTGTCAATTTTGCACCTTTGGGTGATCCATTCAATAGGAAAGTCGATTGGATATTTAGTGTGCATCGCTTTGCCGGCACTGTTTTCAACCAAATTCAAGTTTTATAAGTGTCGAAAGCAACTTTCCACAAAGAAGTAGTGAGTCTTCATTTCCACAAACTCACCTACAGATATAGAAAGCTCACATTACTGCACCATTCTGGATTTGGGGTGATAACAAGTGGTTCAAATGTAGATTGTAATTGCTCGGCATTATGAAAGATTGGGTGGAGGGAATCGGAGCCAATTTTAGGCAAGCACAAGGAGAATGGCACAAAAGCGAAATCTTGACATTTTAGAAGGTATGGTCTCGCTTTCTCAATCTTTATTGACAGTGGGAGACATTTGGCACATTACTGTAGTGTCATCCACCGGTCTGATCTGAAGTTTTCTGGAACCTTTATTGCAGATGTGTTTATGGCGCTTTTGTTTTCGCAACTATACCCGAACTTCACGCGAGAAAGTAGAAACCACAAAATAAGTTGACATGCGTCAACACCATGAAATTCTTACACAAATTGCTGAGCCGCCCCATTACAATTGTTAGCCGACGAATAATGTAAAACAAGAGGAAGGGTTTGAAGAGAAGGGGGAAAATAGAAGAGAAAGAAAAAAAAAAAAAAAAGAAGAAAAGGTTGGAGAAAAAGTGATTCGGAGGTGTACTTTTAAACCTGGGAATGGTATTTCTTTCCGTTGCGCTCGGTACATATCTAACAACAACAGAAGCAAACCGCAATAAGAAAATGACTATATCCGAAACTCCAGAAACTGTGGTAATCACCGGTGGAACCGGTTACGTTGGACAGCATATTATTGCTCAATTGTTGAAACTGGGCTATAAAGTTGTTGCTATTGTCCGTTCACCAGCCAGAGGGTTTGAGTTGATCAAACAATTTAATCATCCAAATTTGCAAACCGAAGCAGTTGACCAATTGGATAAACCAAACTCTATTGATTTTGTCTTGCGTGCTCATAAGGAAGCTACGATATTCATTGCTGGTGCCGCTGTGACTGATTTCACTGCCAAGGATGTAGAGAAGGAGATTTTACAAAAGAGCAATGCCATTGTCAAGAATACGTTGGAATCGATTCACCGTCATGGTGAGCAAATCAAGCGGGTCATTTTGACGTCTTCTTCGGGCTCGACTATTGGGCCAGAGAAGATGTTTAGTTATGATGCTGAATATAATGATGATGGATGGAGTCCATTACCGTATGAGGCGGGATTGGCTAATGCACAAATGGCATATTTCGTGTCCAAGAAATTCAATGAGGAATTGGCTTGGAAGTATGTCAAGGAAAACAAGACCCAATTTGATTTGGTTTCAATCAATCCTGCATTGTGTCTTGGGCCGGCTCAATTTGCAGATGACGTGAGTTTGGTAAATGATGGTGGGAGGCTACCATCTACCACAAGTTTCATCGCCAATTTGCTCAAGTTGCACAAGAATGACAAAGTTGAGCCATTAGCTGCTGGTGCTGTTGATGTGAGAGATGTGGCAAAGGCGCATGTGAGTGTCATTAACAATGCAAAAGCCAGTGGACAAAGGCTCGTTGTTGAAGGTTACAAGTTCACCAATGCTAATGCCGTGAATATCTTGAAGGAAAATTTTGCGTCATTGAGAGACAAATTGCCTGATGTCGAGCCTATACCTGCGTCAAAGTTTGTTGAGCCTGATTTGAGAAGGAGTAAAGCGATTTTGGGTATCGAAACGTATTACACTTTGAATGAATCTGTTGTTGATTTAGCTAAACAGTTGTTGACAGAGTAAAGAGCCGCTTAGCAAGTATATATCGCGCAAAATGTTCTGTTTTTGTGAGGTTGAGTATAGGTTATAAGATTGATCCGAGGATGTTATTGGATCCAATCACGTGTATTACACGTGTACACAGTCATGTGACACTGTAGTACTGTATAGTTCTTCTATTGTTCTTCTATTTTTAGTATGTCATGCATTTTTTTTCTTTTTCTATTGTTATTGTTATTGTTATTGTTATTGTCGCAATTTCATCTTCTCTCACTCGAAAATAACAACACAGTAAACACAACCATTATCAAACTCAGTAAAAGAGAACTTAACATCAAACTATATATTAACTATTCAATCCCAATCAGCTCAATTGGTTTTTTTTTCTTATTTAACTTTTCTTTGGCATTTGCAGTCAAAGTTGCTTAATCACTGTTGACGTATTTACTTCTTAAAACAGAGGAATATCTTAGAGAGAGAGCCACAGCAATTGTAGAAGTAACAGAGGGAAAGGAAAAAAAATAAACATAAAATAAAAACCATAAGCATAAAACCACAAGGAGAATTCCAACCATAGCTAAATAATATCAACCACGGCTCCCGTACACAGATATTCGCATTAGGAATGGCCGGCTTATTCAACAGAAGGGTATGTACACCAACTCATAGGGCTACATTGTACTTTGATGGCTCAATTGTGTGCAAATAGTCACACATATAGAACACTATACTAACATCTCAATTGCAGAGAAGACCCGAGTCTTACCAAGGGTTCAGCAAGTATACCCATGATATAAACACTTTCCACCAACCAACTCAGCATGCTGGGTTGCCATTGCAACCTACGTACCAGCAACAACAGCAACAACAGCAACAACAGCAACAACAAAGAACACAATCCATGACTACTGCCGGTGCTGCAGCGGCAGCCGCAGCTTTGCGATTGCATAGCACACCTGTCAAACAACAAACTCCAGTTTCTCAAAGACAATTTGGACGTTCCAATTCACTAAGCAGTGCTCATAGATCAAACTCATTGAGACAATACACTTATCATCCAAAGCCGTCGTATCAAACGGGTGCTGGTGCTTCATCGATAAGTAATAATGATGCCGGATTACCTAGAAGATACAATAGCTTGACTTCGCAGAGCAGAAACAGTCTTACCAGATCAAGCCATGCCAGTCAGAGACAAGTGCAGCAACAGCCTCGTCATGACAACTTTCATGAAGTGGAGGAAGAAAATCAACAGAGGGTGCACGGCATCAATGAAGATGACGAAGAAGTGGACTATGTAATTACAACCACCACAACCAAGATAGTTGACTCGCAAGGTCGAACACAATCAATAACTACCAAAACAGTCAAAACATTCCCTGATGGATCAAATATCATTGAAACTGCAACAAAGAACATTTCCAGATCCAACTCTAGAGCAAACTCCCTCAGTTCAAATAATTATAGACAAAACTCAATAACAGCGTCGGCATCACATCAACCTGTTAATTTGTCCAAAATTGATGAAGATTTGCAAAACTTCGACTACGACTATCAAGTGGACAGTCTTGATGACGGTGGTAATTTGAAATTAAACACTGGTGAACCACAGCAACACAATTTCTCACAAGGTGGGAATATCATTGCTGAAGAGGCTGAGGATGAAGATAACGGTACGCAGCTTCAAAATGCACACTTGGGTGCACCTTTCAGTGAGTTTTCAAGGCCAGAAAAGCCGAGACAGTATTCAACTGATCGCAGCTCATCATTAAATAGTCAGAGCAAACCATTGAGGTCGATTTTGAAAGGTCAGAATTCGTTGAGCAGTCCGCCGCAAGAACAAGCTACGTCTTCCTCGTCGCCAGTTGTAGCTGGTAATGCTGCTAACACCGGTATTACTGTTGCTGCAGCAGCAGTAGCAGCAAGTGCTTCCCCACGTGTTGCTAGAGATGAATCTCAGTCCCCCTTGAATGTTAGTCACCATCCTTATAAACATTTGACATCAAATACTGAGGAGCAGCAGGTCTCACAGCATCCTAGACTGCCAGATAAGTTGCCAGCTGCCATAAGTCTGCAAGTTAATACTAATGGTGCGTCCAACAGACAATCTAGGCAACAGATATCCTCGCCAAGAGACCATCTAAATATTAACCGCTCTCCAGGAAGCTCTATCAAATTTGATGACAAGGTAGAAACCATCCCTATTGAGAGATCAAAGTATGCTCAGCCAGCTTCACCCAGTCAACATCAACCCAGAACCAGACAATCTCCTACTGGACCTCCAGTTGCTTCCTCTTTGCAGCAACCAAATGCTGACTTTTATGCTGCTGCAATGCAGGCTGCGTACAAGAGGGTATACGGAGATCGTGGCTCGGCAACTGCTTCAACCCAGGGGGCAGAAACAGCGTCACCTACAAGTCCTGAATTTCGACCTTCAAGTCCGCCTCAACAATCGCCCCCACAAGTTGAACAACAAGCTCCGACTCATAAATCGAAGTTTGGGTTTATTCCATTGACTCCGAGAAAAGATGTATCCTCAACATCTCCAAAGTTTCAACAACCGGTGCAGCCTGGTGGTAACCTAGAGCGTACATCTTCCATCAACTCATTGATTAAGAAAAAGATTCAGCGCGATCAGATTGCCCAAGATGCCAAAAACAAGGGATCTGTGCCTGTGAATTACGAATATGTCAATCATCACAAGCAATTCCCCATGCATTCCATGCGGGAGAATCCTCGGAAGCAAAAAGAGGAGCAAAAATTGGCCAGAGAACATGACAAGGAACAGAAGCAGGCAGCAAAAGAGCAGGCTAAATTGGACAAGGTTAGAGCTAAAGAGCAAGCTGAAGAGGAAAAGAAATTGGCTAAGGAGCAAGCTGAGCAGGAGAAAGTGTTAGCTAAGCAACAAGCAGATCAAGAGAAGATTGCGGCGAAGGAGGCAAAGAAGCGTGACAAGAAACCATTGTTTGGGTTTTTGAATAAAAAGAATAGAAGGCACAGTCAAACGGGTTCGGTTTATTCAGGAACCAGTTCTAATGTTGGTACATCTTTGCGACAGCAACCACAACCACAATCTCAACCACAACCTCAGCAGCATAGCACGTCGGGTATTGGTGCGCCTGTAGCTGGTGGAGCCGCTATTGCTGCCACTAGTGCAGGCGTTGCAACTTCCAATAATGAGAGTAATGTTAATGGCATCCCTCATGATGTTGCAACAGAATCATACACTGATGGTGCTCCTCAAGTAGGTGCCAGCTCGCTTGAATCTCCTCAGTCCACTGTTCCTGTTACTCCTGTTCAAAGAGATACTGTGAATGACGACGATGTTGCTGGTGTTCCAGTCGCCTCTGTCCCGTATGGTAAGCATGGTACTGTTCCGACCGATTTCCCAGCTAGGAAGAAAGATGAAGTTGACGGGGCTGCAAGCGTACCACGCTCTGGTGAAGATCATATAGTACAAGTCAGTTCACCAGTGACTGTTCAACGGCTCGGCCCAAATATTGAAGCCCAAGCTGATGAAGTTCAGGAAGAAATTAGTCGCAACAAGAGTGGTCGACGTGGCGTTAATGGGGAGGGTATTGTTGGTTCGGGTCCAACTTCGGAAAAGGAGACTGCTTCCCCTGTTCAGATTAGCTCGCCGATCAAAGTGGAGCGCCTAGGTCCTAATATAGAAGCTCAGGCAGATGAACTTACTAATGAATTGGAGCAAGAGCACGTTGGTTCAACCCTTGATCCACGCGTTGATAAGCAAACCCACACCGGAGATGATGATCACATCTACACAAAGGAAGATGCCGCTTCTGCTCCTATAGTGGTTCCTTCCAGAGAGGATAAATCTGAGAGTACAGTTGCAAAAAACACTCATCCTTTGAATGCTAATGATGAGCACTCGTACAAAATACCTGTTCCAAGAAAGTATTCCAATCAGGATGATCATGCTGAAGAGAAGAATGAGTCGGGGTTTGTGTCTACTCCTCGTGGTATTGCTGGTAATACACATGTACTGAGTAGCAACTACTATCCACTGCCAAATCTAAGCACAAAGCAAAGAAATTCAGTATATGATCATTCTGAAGTTGGAGAGGCACAGACATTTTCGAAAGTCCCTGTACCTGAGTTGAATGATATTGATGACGACGAGGATGAAGACGCTAATCGCGGTATTGGAAATGTAAGAGAGGTGGAGAACCCCAGGGAAGAAGTTTCTTTGCATGGGGATCCTTCTTTGAGCAGCTATGAAAAAGTTCAGGCTCCTTCAAGTGATGACGATAAGTACCAAGTTGTGAGCAAAGATGAGGTTGTTGGCGAATCTGCCGCACCGGAACATGTTGACCCAGGCGAAATAAAGTCAGTGACTGAATCGGAACCCGTGGTTGTTGACACGTTGGCCGAGCCAGCGGGCCCAAACGTTGACCGTGATGCAGGCTACAGGACTCCTCAAGTTGACGCTGAACCAGCTTTTGTTGGGGAAGGCTCAAGAAATCATAGTGAGGTTGGTGCTCTGGCGTTTGTCATGAGTGAAAAATTGACTCATCCTCATGAGCACCACAACTTGGTGGGTGATGACTTTGCTGGCTCTCAGTTTGTGAAAAGAGCCACTTCTCAGCTGGATTCACCATCTAGGAGAGGGTTAAAGAGCCTGCCAAGGTCTCGGGTGGTAAGTGATGAAGCAGCGCCACAAAGAGTGATTGAGCCTGGGAAGAAGCCAGTATCTGAAGGCTTGGTGGATAACCAAAGTCGTTATCAGCATCTGGAGGTAGAGCCATTGCAACAGGCAGCAGCAAATGGTTACTCTTCCTCAGCTGAACCTAGTGGTGACACGTTGCCCACTCCTCCTTCCCAGCACGGCGCTGAGGAGCAACAGTATAATCCAGATGATCTTGAAGGTGTTGTAGTTGAAGAAAAAACCAAGGGCAAGAAAGGCAAAAAGGAGAAAAAGGAAAAGAAGGAAAAGAAACCTGGCAGATTCAAGGAGAGGATGTTGAAGTACTTTGTGAGCGGGTATGAACAATGAAGAGACGATGCGGAAAAATCTTCAAATATTGATTTAGTTTGGCACATTTTGTGTTCCTTGATATTTTAATAGTTTAATACTTGATCTTTAGTTCGAGCCGTTGTTGATACCCCAAAAATACAAACGATGCGCATCCCTTTTGAATCGCGTATTATCCGTAACGACACTCTTTGTGGTATGCAATCTGTGGCATGTTTCAACATGCTATATTTATTTTGATCCACTTGAGTCAATTATCCACGTCTTTAACCACATATAAATCCGAACTTCAAGGAGTTGCCGAGTAAGCAACTCAGAAACAATGCTTTCAATCTCTATACGTCCCAAATGGTTATTCGTCCACAGTTTTATCCATGAGTCACGTGAAACTACCAATTGGCAACGCAAATACAAAATTCAAAAAAAACGCATTTTTTTTTTTTTCAATCAACGTACCGCCGAAATACATTTCACCAATGCCCAGCGATCAAAATACCGTGTCATCGGCTGAACTGCTATTTTCAGATCTACATATAAGTCTGCAAGATATTCGACAGGACCGGGCCCCTTTTCTGTCACAGTCTTCACAAACTCAACTGAGCGAAGTGGAAGATGCGTTTGCCAAAATATGCATGGCGTGCCGAACTGGAGATTACGAAGTCGTAGATTCCTTGTTGAGTACCCCCAACCTAGACGTTAATCAGGTAGACGAATACGATTACTCGCCCTTGATTCTAAGCTCATTGTGCGGACACTTGAAAATTGTTGAACTACTATTGAAGAGGGGCGCCGTATGCGATAGAGATACGTTCCAAGGCGCTAGATGTATTTATGGAGCACTCACTGATGAAATCAGAGATCTACTAGTCAGTTTCGACATTTCCAAGGCAGTGGATGTCAATCAACCTTTTGCTGGTCACATTGCGTCACTTTACACTACACCGGCCAACAAGGATGTGGTTTTCAAGTTCAACCAAAGAGGATTGAGTTCTGACTTGAGTGCGTTTACGTTGCATAGATTTTTATTGGCTGCACGAAGCCTGTACTTTAGAGAAAAGTTTCAAAATGAATGGAAACTTTTGAGCGTTGTGAATATGCCCAGCACAGTTGATCCATTGGCTTTTAAGGTCATTGTCGACTATGTTTATCTAAGAACTGACTCGATGGTGATTAACGAGAAGGGGTTCCGTAAAACGGTGGTGGCTTTAGCTGAGGAATACGAGTTGGGGGAGTTAGCTGGTGCTGTAAGGGAAATCGCACTTGCAAAAGATGAAAAGGAGCAATTCAAGGTCAAACATGAGTTAGCAATGAGGATAGTTGAAAAGGCTAGAAAAGACCTCGACACATTTTTGACTAGCTCCATTATTGGCAATAGTGCTGCCTCCAAAATGGAGCTTGAGAAAGACATTGAGCTTGAAGATATCAACTCGCAGCATTACATTACACAAGAACAGAAAAGAATCTTGCTTGAACTGCCCTCCATACCTGATGTCATTCTATCGTATGTCGATTCCAACTCAGAGACAATAATTTACTATCCAGTTAACAAATCAATCCTCGTGAGGTCGGAATATTTTGATACCATGTTCAAATCAGACATTTTCAAATTTGCCGAAAAGGACATACCCATGTGTAAGGATGGGATAATTTTGGCTGTGAACCGACCCCAGGTTGATGAGTCGCATTTGCCCATTATACAGCTTTCAACCAGTACGGCGGACAAGAAAGTGGCAGCTATGGTTTTGTCGTACTTGTATCATGATGATGTTAATGAGATTCCGTTGGAGAATGTTATAGAGTTGTTGTATGCCGCTGATGAGTTGTTTTTGGAGAGATTGAAAACAATGTCGGCTGTGCGATTGAGCTCAAGATATCCAAAATTCACGTATCAGGAGTTTCAGCTGCTAAAGGCAGAAGTGAAATATGATGCGTACGATTTGATTAGAGCAGCATGGCTGACACGATGTGACAAATTGGAACAACATATCACCAAAATGATTGCCTATAATCTACAAGACATTGTTGCGCGAGAGGAGGAGAGGGCAAAATTGTTGGCCGTGATTGCAGAATCGGCTGCCAGAATCAGGGAAAGACAAGACACGGATACGATTGAATTAGTGGATGATATCCGATACTACTTGTCCAAGAAATACTCAATTAGTGAAGATGGTGAAAGCTTGGATCCTTTGAGCAGTTTTGGATATAGAGATAAAAAGACCGAGAATATCAAGTTGTACCAAAACTCGTTGCTTAAGTATGAAAGAGATGTTGAGGTTATCGAGAGCATGTTGGACAAATTGAACTTGGATGCTTAGTGGAGATACTGCGGCAGCTGTATACAGTCAGCACTTTGTTTAGGGGGTTCATTCTTTTTTTTTTGTAAAAGCTTTATAGAGTGATAGATATTCCAACCATCACGTGAGTGTTTTTCCTTTACTCATCTCTTCTCAAAGGTAAAAAAACAAAAAAAAAGAAAAAACAAGAAAAAACATAGTATCAAGAAATCATTTTGCAAAATCATATACAATTTTAATCAACCATGGCTGAAGAAAATAACCCCGATGGAGGGCAGAGTGAAGACGTGGTTTTGCTAGATGGTAAACTCTCAAAAATCAGAAGCCAAATCAATTCCAAACTCGACAATCAGAAGCATTTGGCCATTATTTTATCAGCTGTGGAGGAGAATATCGAAGAGCAAAAGAATGACAGAACGCCAGTAGCGTATTTTGTCTCCTTCTTATCGCTACTTGACCAATGTATACAGGATGAGCAAATAGTTGACCAGAACTTGGCTGCCACCACTGCCTATTTTCTTGACCTCATCTTCCCCTTTACCCCAAAAGCATTGTTGAAGCAAAAGTTTGGTGATATCTTGGTAAAGTTGTCACAACCATTGAATGTTGATGCAGAAGCTCCACTTGTGAGGTCTACTATTGGGGCCATTGAGAGCTTGCTTTTAGCTCAAGATAACGCTCGCTGGTTAACAAATGGGGCTGTTTCTCCAATTAGGGCATTTCTGGCATTGATTGAGTTGTCATTTGATCCCAGACCGAAAGTGAGAAGAAGGGCACATGAAGCAGTAAAGAACATCTTGACGAATCCGCCACCAAGTCCGAGTCCCATCCATGTTGCTGCTGTAGGAGCATCTGATGCATCCTTGAGACAGCTCACGGCTCTCTTAAATGAATATAGACTGCAAAGAAAAAGCAATGCAAACAAGGAACTCAATTCACAAATTATTCACTGCTTACAACTTATAACTATCATAACGTCTGCCAATTCATGGCCAGTAAAGAATATCGAAGGTTTAGGTGACTCGCTTTTGGAAATTTCGAAAACTTCTGACCAATTCTTGGTCTCAGCAGCATTTGAAGCATTTGAAGGGCTCTTCAAGTCAATGACTGATGTTATTGATGTGGAAAGATTCACCAAGGTATTAAATGTCATTTTGGACCTCAAACCTAGTGTTAATGACGCCCATTTGAGTCCTTCGTGGTTGACTGTTGTTGCAAAGGCTTTGGAGAGCTTTAGTGTTTTGTCACCACTTGATTGCATCAAAATGTATCCACAAGTCTTGCCTTCAGTTTGCGAGTTCTTAGGTTCTGATTCTGAAAATATTTACACCAATGCAGCACATTGCTTGACAGCCATAGTGTCGCAAACGATACCAGAAAAGTTTCTTTTACAACCAAGTAAGGACTATGGAATCACACCTGAAATATATGAAACGGTTGACGAAACGATTGCTTTTGTTTCTGGGCTTATAGAAAAGGAGTTGTTCACCATAAAGTACCAACATGCTACAGGACAAATTTTAAACTTTGTATCTGTCACTATCAAAAAGCTCCACTCGAGAGCTAACCCAGATTTTCTAAACATTTTGGAAGTTGTTGGTAATTGGAGAACAAACGAGACTGACAGCTTTCCCCACAATAAAGAAGCTGAAGACTGTATTGCCGCATGTGTTTCGGCAATGGGTCCGGAAGCTGTTTTGGGTGTTTTGCCTTTGAACTTGACAGGTGAGGGGAATGGACCTGGAAGGGCTTGGTTATTGCCTATTCTTAGAGACAATGTCCGCTTTGCAGAATTGGAGTTTTTCAAAACCCAAATTTTGCCGACTGTTGACTTTTTTGAAGCAAAGATTGCTGCTTCTGGTGATACGGCATCTATGAATGCAAAAATTTTCCAGACAATCATTGATCAAGTTTGGTCATTGTTGCCCCGTTTCTGCGACCTTCCAAGGGACTTGACGACTGCTTTTGATGAGCCTTTTGCTACAAAGTTGTCAGATTTGATGTTTGCAAATGTTGAATTGAGAACTCCGATTTGTAATGCTTGGAGGGCACTTGTTCAATCTAATGTGTCCTACAGGGATGCTGCGTCAAGTGAAGATTTATTGTTGCAACAGGAATTCCCCAAAACAGACGCTGAGAAGAACATCACATATTTGAGCTCCATAGCGTCCAACATTTTGACTGTTTTGTTCAACGTATTCACATACACTATGCCTGAATCCAGAGGATTCGTGTTGGAAACTGTTGAAGCATACTTGCAGATTGTGCCACCGCAAGAACTTGCAGCTACATTTGATAAGGTTTGTGGTATGTTGAAAAATGCATTGGATGAAGAGGCACAAAGTTCCAAGAATATCGATTCCAGACCTGACACCAGTGTGACCATGATGGACTTGATTGTTGCTATGGCCAAGTACGTACCTGAAACGTCACACAACGCGCTTTTTTCCATTTTCGTCACTACTGTGTCATTGGAATCAAAACCATTACTTCAAAAAAGATCGTATAGGATTCTTTCCAAATTGTGTGAGTCTGAAGAAGGGAAAAATTCAGTTTTGAAATATGTTGGAGATGTTGAAAACAGAATCATTGAAACTACAGAAGTCACTAATCAGGCCGCAAGACCCGCAAGATTGACAGCGATTTTGTTACTTTTGGATATTCTCCCGAACACTGACTTGAATTTTATTCCATCGATTTTACAAGAGATTATCATTGCAACCAAAGACGTGAATGAGAGATCAAGAGGTTTATCTTATCAAATATTGATAAAGATGGGACACAAAATGAGCCAGGGAGGTGTGATAGATAACTCCAAGGTCTCTGGATTTGATTCAAGTGCGGCACCTTCTGAAGCCTCTTTAACGGAGTTTTTCACTATGGTTAGTGCTGGTTTAGCCGCGCTGAGTGCGCACATGATCTCCGCAACCATCACTGCTATAGCATGCCTAGTTTTTGAGTTCAAGAATCAATTGTCTACTGAGACCCTCTTTGAGATTTCCTCGACAGTGGAGTTGTTTTTGACGCATAATTCCAGGGAAATTGCTAAATCTGCAATCGGATTTGTTAAAGTTGAGATATTGTCATTGCCTGAAGAGATGGTGAGAAGCAACTTGAGTGAACTTTTAAGTAAATTGATGAAATGGTCGCATGAACATAAAGGTCACTTTAAAAGCAAGGTGAAGCATATCATAGAAAGGCTTATCAGAAAGTTTGGAGTAGAGGAAGTTGAAAATGCCATTCCTGAAGAAGACAAGAAATTAGTTGCAAATATCAAAAAGACCAGAAACCGAGCCAAGAGAAAGCAAGAAATTAGCCCCGAGTTGCAAGCCGCAGCCAATCCATCCTCGAGCGCCAAGAAATTTGTTTCTGCATATGAAGAAGCACTCTATGATTCGGACGTATCGGATGAAGAGGGAGTTGATATATATGATGAGGATGCCAGCAGGGCCAGAAAAGGCAAGAAATCTAATCAATTTATATTGGAAACTGGGGACGAACCACTCAACTTGTTGGATCGTCAATCATTGGCCCATATCTCCTCGTCCAAACCTAAGAAACTCACCAAATCCGAACTCAAATCAAAGACTGATGAATTCAAGACAAAGAATGGTAAATTGGTCTTTAGTGAAGGTGGTGAAAATGATGATCCGTTTGCCAAGAAAGGCTCTGGCATAGATGCATACTTGGATGCTGTCAAGCAGGCACCAGTAAGAGGTCAAAAGAACAAATTGAAATTCAAAAAGACCAGGGGTGATGATGATGATGAAACTTGGTCAGATGATGAAGAGGGCGACGCTAAAAGTAGGCCAGTTGCAAAGAAATCGAAAGTACTTGGAAAGTCAAAGATTTCAAAACCAACGAAACAAAGATTCAAAGCACATAAGAAGCTTTAGATAAAAGATTTATTGTATTTAGTAAAATGAAGGAATTGTGTTTATGTATCTAGATCAATCCCGCGATGTACGAAATGAAAAATGAAAAATGAAAAAAAATAAAAAAAAAAACAAAAAGAGAAAAAGAAAAAGAAAAACTCTGAACTCCAACTCAACTCAATCCAGACAAATATAGTCCCTCCTCCCATGTCCAATCCACTAATGTCTCTTGCCGAAAAGACGGCACACAAAAGAAACCTCGTGAAAATAAGGCTTGCAAGGTTCGGACGAAAGCATCAGCCCATTTTCAATATAGTTGTCATGAAGGCTAAAAAAGCCCAGCAGAAATTACCCATGGAAGTTATAGGCACATACAATCCTGTCCCCACGCCGCAACCCTCGTTTGACAATAGTACACCCATCAAGGATGTAAGCTTAGATTTCCACAGGGCTAAATACTGGTTGGGTATGGGTGCTGAACCAACACCAAAAGTTGCATGGTTGTTTAAGAAGGCGGGCATTTTACCCAACTTCTGGCCCAAAACTACCAAGTTGTCTCAGGAAATTAATGCCCCTGTTGTCGAAGATGTTAAAGAGACGCAGGAATTACCGGTGGATATCGTAAGAAGAAGAGGGGATAAGAAATTTTAGAGTGGAAATCGGGTTTAGTTATTGTAAATAGCAAGAATTAATTGAACTACTTCAATCAAACTTCGTGTTGCTTTCTGTGAAACAAATGCCATCTCTTTTCTGTTAGAACCCGTCTACGAAAGATCATTTTGAACGGGTTTCTTCTTGGTTTTTCTATTTCAACACGATTAACTGTGTTTGTGTTTTCATTGTAGTGATCATCCTCTAGAAAACTGGGAACCCAAGTGTTGGGATGCTGACTTGGTTGCTCTTCGTATCTGACTGATAAGTTGGGTCCAATTCCACTGGACACCTCGTACTGGTACACATCCGAATTTTGTTGCGTGGAATTCGGTTCGTAAACCCCTGTGTTGAGATTGATGTGATGAAAGTAGGTGTTGTAGCAATCTCGAATGACTTTATAAGTATCTCTGTATAGCTCGTTGTAGTTTCTAGTTAACATGAGAACAAGAATCTCTTCAAATGACTTCTTCAACTGGTCGAAATCCTCAGGAGCAATGACCGCATCCATGTTCAAGTTGGTGGTGAAAGCAGCTATATCACCCATGAGAAACTTGGCTTCACTGGACGAATTACAACCACGTAACAGCTCTCTCAAAAGCTGTAAGATTTCGGGATCTGGGGCAAGTTTGCTCAAGACATCCTCGATGATGTTTCCAATGATACTCCTGGGTTCAAGTCGGTTTGCAGCCAAATATTTTGCCCTCAAGTTGATCATCTGGTCGATTGAGTCAAGAAAGAGTTCACGCTTGAAAGTAACTTGACAGGTTTCGCAAATCAGAAACAATATAGCAATTAGCTGATGGGTTGGAAGGAAAACTCTATAAGTTGTGTAAATGGCTCCCCCATTGAGAAAGCTATCAAATATAACCTTGTTCATGATATGGTCCAATCGATTATTTGCCATAAATGCGGTGAAACTTTCCATATCTTCCGGTTGTGTTGCCGCAAGATCCCTCAATGTAGATAAATCGTCACATAGTTGCCTGTGGGCAAGGAGTAGTGCATGTGTGTCGTAGTAGGGGCATCCATCAATGGTGTGCATCACCTTCGCTAGTAAGATAACCAACTGCTGCCTATTCGAGGCAAGGGCGGGGAGCAGTAATGTTGACCAGGTATCCTTTGACCGTTCAGTGGCGGAAAACGTCACGCTTGAGTTATAGCTCTCGCAAAGACTCATGATGTAGCCTGTAATGTAGTGTTAAAGTGTGTTGCAAAAAAAAAATAAAATAAAATAAAATATAGACGCACACCACACTTCAGCATCAAGAGGTTTCTACAGTACATCATTAAAGAGAACTATGTCAACATGTATTGAGCACACATCTATCTATCAGTTTAATCGAATAAACCGAATCCCATGTCTTCATCAGATTGTTCTTCTTCTTCTTCAGCAGCGGCCTCAGCAGCTGGTTCAGCGTCACCACCGGTAGCGGCAGCAGCAGCTGGAGCAGCAGCAGCATAAGCTTCTGGGTTAGCCAATCTGTCCTTGATAGCTTCCGAACCTTCGAAGGTGTAGTCAGTAGCAATAGACAAAGCCAAGACGTTCTTGTAGTTGTTGATCAAAGAGTGGCCAACAGATGGCAAGGTTGGGTAACCGGCAGCCAATGAGATGGAGGTGATGGTGTTGATAGCACTGACAAAGTGACCAATCAATTCATCATCGGTGATGTCCAAGATTGAAGCTGGGAAGACTTGACCATTGTCGTAAACTTGAACAACAGTTAAACCATAGGTGAATGGAGAAATGTTCAACATGTTCAACAAGGTAGCTTCGGATGGACCAACTTTACCATCCTTTTCAACAACCTTAACATCGGAGACAATTTCAATTGTACCTCTGGCAATCTTGGTTGGGACACCCAAAGCTTGGAAGAAAGAGGTCTTACCTGGTTCCATACCAGTGTTACCAGCTGGAATGTAAACATCAGCTGGAGCAACAGCACCGGCCTTAGCTGGAGCAGCAACAACGTTAGAGGTGATGACATCTCTAATAGTCTTCAAGTCACCGTTGGTGAAGATGAAACCAACATTGCCTTTGACAAATGGCAACAATTTTTCATAGTCTGGCAATTCTGAAAGGAAACCTCTGATGGCTCTTCTGACCATAGTGTTCTTACCCATCAAAACAACAGCATCACCTCTCAAGGCTTTTCTGATTTCGTGCATTTGTTGAGAAGAAACATTGTCAACACCAACAATGAAGATTGACTTGTATTCTTCCAATAATTCTCTTAATTTGGCAAAGTATTGCACTTTCTTGTCTCTGATACCACCCATTTCGACTTGTTTTTGATTTGACGACAGGAATTTAATGGTATGTCCGTTGATGAAGCCGGGAGAGGAGGATCTTGTAAACGGGGTTTGATAATTTTCATTTTTCACTGAGTGAGTTGAGTGAGAGACTGCGAGAGTGAGTGATTACTCTTTTTTTTTTCTTTTTCTTTTTTTTTTTTTGTTTGCATCACGTGCACATTTGTGACTTCATATTACATGTCGCATTTACATTTAAATTTGACGACAAGCAATTACACGACACTATAGCTTATCCTAGTCCACTATTCTCGTAATTTGAGCTGATAAATGTATTCTTCAAATACTCCGCCCACATCTGATCCAATTTTTTACCCTCTTTGCCTTTCCTTGCCTTGTCGTTGTTTTTCTTTTTATCCTTTTTCTTTTCCGTGTCAACACTATTCTCCTTAACTGGCTTTCCCAACTTTCTTGCATACTTTAACCATTCTTCTACGGTCAACACTGGCAAGTTGTACAATTTGTCATCGGTGGAATATTCAATCTCGTAGTCAAACTCCTTTCTACCTTTGTTGATTCCTGCCAAATCTGCATAGTACTGTACATACCTCTCTGGGGTGTAAGTTTGAGGGATATATGCTGGACCTAATTTAGCACTTTTGGGTTTAGGGAGGGGGAAAGTTTTGTCACGCTTGATGAATGTCCACACGCTATGCCCTTCGTCGTCGTCATTGCCATCGTCATCGATGTATGCATCTTGCTTTTCGATCAAGGACTCAACTTCGAAAAAGAACTTATCCCAAGACTCGAATTTGGTATTGGACATTTCCTGTGCGAGATTGGTGATGTTGTATTCCCACACTCGTAAACCAGGGTTGAATGTGGGGACAATTGAGCTACCGACGTGTGAAATAGAATACCTTTCACCATACTTGCCGGCCTTCTTTTTACCCTTGATCTTTGCGTACACCTCTTCACGAACAGTGTTCATGTATTCAACCTTGTTTGATGGAACGCCACCTTGTATCCTAAAGAAAGAGTCATCAAACTTTGTATCCAAGGCTTGATAAAATGTGGTTTCTCCCAATGCTTTAGTCTCTAAGTCATCATGGAACTCCTCATTAAACGCTTCAAACATTTCCAATTGCTTTGATTTCCCATCCTTTCGTGAATTTTTAATTGACTTGTATGCAGCAACGCTATCCAAAGGAATGAAATGGTCCAAGTTCATGTGTCCGTATAATCCGCCCACAATAATATCTCTAAACTCATAAATCCAAACAACATACTTTCTCAAACACGTCAAATCATAGTTTTTCTCATTTGGTGGAACATGTCCTGTCAACCACACCTTCATGTTTCTAGCTCTCAACTCTTTCAAAACGTAGCCCAACCACTCAAATAGCTTGTACCCTGGTTGTTTCCTCTTGTCACAATTGTCAACTAATGGATTCAGCTGGAATAAGTAAAGTGTGTTGATGGACAAGATTGCCAATTGTCCAGGAATAACTTCTTTAAAAAAATAAGCACCACGGTTGAATGTGTGTAGTTGCAGTTGTGGAATGAACTTTTGCCAGATTTGAAACAATTCACGTGTTTGCAACGTAGGCCCAATACTAAATAAATTGTGTGGGTACACATCATTATTACCCAAGCTTGGAATCAAATCGATTTCCAATTCAGGCGTATCCTTCTTTTTAAAAGTCTCGTACAATAACCTACTCACATGGTCATTCATCTCAAATATGTTCTGTTCCGTTCTTGGGTAATTTCGGTCATTGTCATGACGCACATTGTCACCGGTCCACACAATGAAATCGATCTTGTCTTTTAAATTCTTTTCAATCCATTTTATAGTTTCCTCCATTAACGCCATTGGCGAATCGCATCCTGATATGGCATCTCCATATTTCAGCGCATCCCCCCTTGACCGATGACACAATTCATCAAACGACAGACCCTCTTTGAAATATGGGTCTGGGTGGATATCGGTTATGTGAAGAAACCTGCCATGAATAATTTGCTTGCCCTTTTCATCAGTGACAATCTTTATTGGCTTTTTAGGACTAAGCCCGAGTCGCTTCAAGTCATCCTTCTCCGAGGAAGTCAATTCAATTGTTTCAATAGTTGTGTACTGTGGAGTTACCAAACTCGTATCCTGTGTTTTGATGGTGATGTACTGATAGATGGGGACTATTAGCAACAACGTAAACAATGATAGACTTATACGCCTCCATGGTGATGTGGAATGACGCAGATGCGATTCGTAACCATTCTTCTCGTTTAGTGTAGACATGAAGTTTAGCAAAGTGATACGGGGAGTGGGAGACCCAAAGCTAATTGTAGTGACGAAAGATGTGGTGGTACCTAGTTTATTTCTCTAGTCATCAAATGAAACACACACACACACACACACAAACAAACAAACAAACAAACAAACAGCACAGCGCAGCGCAGCAAAAAATACACACACAAGAAACAGGAGGGGTAGGTAAAAGAAATGGAGATTTGGTACGTGATGTGGTATTCGAAGAAGAAATGTTGAGTCTTTGTGTCATTGGGAAGTTGTGCACGACCACTTGCACAGCTGACTGAGCACGTGTGTTGAGAAACAGATACATCATAGCCAATAAAAAATCTACATGCACTTGAAAGCCATTTTTGGGTAGTATAATAGATTACTGAAGCTAGAAGCAGCTTGATGCTGAACTCTTTTCACAGGACATACCACTGTATCCGTAGTAGTTTTCCTTCGATCACTTTCAAAGACAACGATTGGCCGTAAAATGTGCAATGTCGCATAATATGCAAATGCGACAATAAAATTAAAGGTATGTCAAGCGACAGCTGGCGTTCATTATTTATTGAAATTCTGATCGAAGTGCAAGTATATGTCCTCTCGTTTAAGAGTCTATATTTTGATGAGAATACATGTGCCCAAGTTGGTATAGTGTTCTGTGTACACAAAATTATGCTTCTCTCAACTTCACATTAATTACTTCGCCCAAAGCGGTAAATGAGTTACTCTTTTGCTCCAGCAATAACAACCTTCACAAATGCGCGCGTCGAACACCTTTATTGTTTGCATTGCAGTTCAGTTATCCCTAATTGCTTATTGAGATACTTGTGTTGCGGTGTTTTGTGTATCTTCTCCTTTCACAATGTTTTGCAATGCTTTTGGTTTTTGGTTTTTGGCGTTTATTTATTTTTGTGGTGTTTTGGCCAATTTGTGTTTAATTAGCAACTTGGTTTGTGTGTGTATTGCAAACTGCTAGACTGTGTTATGTCAGTCTGTTCATATATTGATGACCTTGAGCAGATAGTTCAACAGTTGGTGTCCATTGTGGTCGCTACAAGTTTCAAGTTGCAAGTTATGTATGTATATATATGCAAACAATACACTCTACAGAAAATACTCTAAATTCGTGATCTTTTTTGTTTTCGTTACTGCATGATAATGGACAAGTTTGACTTGATTGATTTTGTGGGGGTAGATGAAATGATTGGTGCTTGCTCTTGGGATGGTGATGGTTCGAGTGGATTGCTTATTGGCACTGCTACTGAGGCAAGCTGACCCTTTTGTTGCAATTGTTGTTCATGTTGTTGATGAATAGGTACGTTTGTTGGTGGCAACTCCAAAATCTCTTTTTCGACATTGCTTTGTTTACGCAATGCTTGACGTTTGTTTTGGAACCAAATCTGTACTGCTTTCTCAGTCATGTTAACCACTTTAGCAATTTCAATTCGTCTTGCTTTGTTTGGGGTGGAACCAAGCTCAAATTCTTTGTTTAGTATGTTTAATTCATGGAGTGATGTTCTTCTTCTTTTCCTTCTTGCTAAAGGTGCATTATCAATATTTGGCTCTTGAGAAGGGAAAGTGGCTGGCGAATGGGATATGAATGCATACAATTTTTCAGATGAGCCCGCAGTGCTAGTAGGTGTAGGCAAAGACGATGTAGTCGTGGATGGCGATGTCGAAATTGACCTCACTTTTGGTTTTGTTTTTGTTTTTGATTTGCGCAATTCCAAGATACTTGTATCCATCAAGGATGTATCTTCATCAACGATTGAGTTGGATCTTTTTCTTGAGGACATCACCAGCGAGGTTGATGCGGAAGGCGGCGGTGTAGGAGTTGATGATGACACATTTGAATGGGTCGTGGTTGTTGATGCTGTTGTTACCGGTTGGTAAGTTATATAAGAGTGATAGTGCTGTGGCTGCGATGAAATTGGTGGAGGAGATGGGCGTGGAAGCGAACTTGACGCTGACCTAGGAGCTGGATATTGATGTTGTAAAGAAGACTGGTGGAGGAGTTGGGGCTGTGGCTGTGGCTGTGGCTGTGGCTGTGGCTGTGGCTGGAATTGCGGTGCTTCTTGTTGTCGTTGTGGTTGTGGTAGTGATTGTTGGTAGATGTACGGGGTAGTAGCAGTAGCCAATGGTGTACTAGTAAATGAATCAAAGGATGGTAATTTTTTGCATGGCGTTTGAGCAAACAAATAGCTGTTATTGGTGCTTGCCGTGTTGGTGATGTTAGTTAATGGATGATCCTTGTAATGATTGGATTTAGCTGATGATAAAATTGACGATAATGGAGGTAAGCTAAATTTAGCGCCAGAAACACTGGTGCCCGAAGTTGTAACACCAGCTGTCTCGGTTGTGCTTGAGATAGAAGTGTTGTGGTTTCTGTCCAATGCTGAATCTCTTGTAGAGGAGTACGATTGATTGGACTGTTGTGGGAATAAAGTTGATTTCTTTGGTGTTTGTAAGTGAATCATATTTGGAAAAGCAGTTAAATGAGTGACTAGATGAAAGGATGCAACAAATGAATGTAAAATGTAAATTTTCCACAATGAAGGGTACAGGTGCGCTTCTTATTGAATGGGTTTGAAGAATTGAGATTTCTGGATCTGTTTATATATATATATATAAGTTTACAAGAGTTCAAGTGCAAATAAAAAATTTATCGCGTTGTTTACAATTTAGGTCAAATCAAAANTGAGTGACTAGATGAAAGGATGCAACAAATGAATGTAAAATGTAAATTTTCCACAATGAAGGGTACAGGTGCGCTTCTTATTGAATGGGTTTGAAGAATTGAGATTTCTGGATCTGTTTATATATATATATATATATAAGTTTACAAGAGTTGGGGGTTTATGAGAAATTCAAGTGCAAATAAAAAATTTATCGCGTTGTTTACAATTTAGGTCAAATCAAAATATAAACACAACAAAAGCTTTGCAGCTGCAATTAATTATTATCCAATTAATAACATACGCCTTTATGTTTGTGATATGTTTACGTCTGTGTTTATACAAATTGTGACTTAATTGTTGTGCTTATTAATGAACCCAAATAGGAGAACAAACTTATTTCCATACATCACGTATGAAATTTATGATGGATGCTATTGTTTTTAATTGTGAAATTTTTCTGGCGTCAATTTTGTCAATAGAAAAGAGAGTGAGTGTTTATTTTTATGTCAGGTTTCAAAAGAACTAATGTAGTTAAATAGAGTCCCTTGGTAGGCTCTCTTTTCAGATTTCTCTGCAACTTGAAGGTTCCTGTGCCGTTGAATGTGCAAATCTGGTACTGTGGTTTGATTTATTTCCTAATTGAGGATATATTGGGATCACGGAGTGTTTTGTGTTTGTCTGCCATTAAGCTTTATGGGTGTTACACAAACACGAGAAAAGAGAATGTAGTTTCTATGCAGTATATTGCTTTTTCTAAATGGTATAGACATACATAAGAGTACACATGCATTGATTGTTGTTGGAAGGGCATGTATAATATAGCTTGGTATGTGATGACGCAGGTAATCGTCCTTAGTGAAACAAGCTTTGCCCCTTTTTGGAACAAACAGATTTTGGGGAATTCTGGCATCAAGAGGAGCGCTTTGTTATGACACAAATTGGGATCCAAAACCGTAGTTGATGTTACAATCATCTAGTTCGTACAGAGTACTTTCTCGAATGAGATGCAGCAAATGTGCAATCTGTCTCTGATTTGAAACAGATTGCTGATTGCAAAATTGAACTTTCATTGTACAGTCATAAGCCTATAGCTCTTCTCCTAGAGATAGAACTAACAACATCCAAACTTTATGCACACATTGAGCCGAGTAGCGTGTACATCTTGCCTGTCTATCAAGGATTTGCAATTTTTTTTTGCCACATTTTCGTGACAAAAAGTTAGAAACTGAAAACTTCCAACGAAAATGGAAATATGACATAAAATTTAAGGGATTACTCGTTTCCAAGTTATGAAAGAGTCTTGAAACACAATGTGCATTTGGCAAAGAGTAGTTTGTAGTTTTTGAAGTACAAATTTTGAACTTGGTAGCGTTTGATTTACAACTAGGAAGAATCTTACCTCGTTCAAACATTCTTGTTAGAACGAGAGAGGCTTACACGATTTCCTCAATTTTACCTTATTTTATGAAATTAAAATACATGAACTATACAACAAATGATTTAGGATAATCTTTTCATTATATAAGAACACACAAGCTTTTCTCTTCATATACTGATCCCCAAACACAAAAGAAAACAGAGGAGTCGTATATATTTAACGACCTCTTGAGGTAGTCTTGGTGTGTTGACCTCTAACCTTCAATCCCCAGAAGTGTCTAATACCTCTGTGTGCTCTAATCTTCTTCAATCTTTCCAAGTCATCTCTCAATTTAGATTCCAAGTTGTTAGCCAAGACGTGGTAGTCCTTACCGTCAACTTGATCCTTTTGTCTGTTCAAGAACCAAGCTGGAATCTTATAGTTGGTTGGGTTTTGCATAATGGTGACGATTCTTTCCAATTCTTCTTGGGTCAATTCACCAGCTCTCTTGTGCAAATCAACATCGGCCTTCTTACAGACCAAGTTGGAGTATCTTCTTCCGACACCTCTGATTTTGGTCAAGGCGTACATGATCTTGATTCTACCATCAATGTTGGTGTTCAACAAACTAGAAAATACACAGTTAGTAAGGTGTTGTCAAATAAGAAAGAAGTTTGTTTGAAAAGAGTGAAAGTGTGGTCCTGTTCGATGTACAAGGGAGATGGCACACTCAATCGACTTCCCTGTCTGCGCCTAGTGTGTATCTGACATACACAACCATGTGCTCGTAAGGAGCACTCCAACCTCACGGAGTGGTCGCAGCATTTGCACTATGTATATAGCCCATCTAAATTTGTGTTTCTCCTCCCTTGTGTTTCGTTTACCTCGTTTTCAGATTGACCAAGCTCTGACGTCCTCCTAGGTCCGTGCTTCCCACTATAGCTCCTCCTTTTTAAAAGTGATCTCTCACATACCGCAAAATGTGTTGGAATGATCCTTGTTCTTGGACAACTAATGGCATATTGGATGTATTATGTTGTTGATAATGCTATGGTAAAAAGGAAGGTTCTCAACACTAAATTTTTCAATTATTTTTTTACTATGGGCACTTCTTTTTTTTTTTTTTTTTTTTCTTCTTCTTCTTCTTCTTCTTTCTTCGTCGTCTTCTCCCTCCACAGAGTAGGCCTCTCAGTACTTACTGGAAGGAATTTTTTTTCTCTCTCTCTCTCTCTCTTTCTCACTCTTCTCCTGCACTACACAAAACTTATATCTAGAAGTGGTAGCTTCTTATCGTGGTTATAGCCCTAGTCAATATATGCACTAGCCTAGCTTCCATTTGAGCAAAGCATTACCAACAACTAGGTACTACGGTTGATCAACCAAAATTGTGCTATGTAACCTCACATTACTCTATGTACAAGTTCATCAATCATACACTATATTTGCTTATGAGCCATTGCAACGCCGATAATTCAACGAAAACCCGATTAGCTTTCAAAATGTCCCTAACTTCAACATCTTCCTTCTTGATAACCTTGCCTTTAACCTTGGCAACAGCCTTGGCTCTCTCTTTTCTGCTCATTTTCTTCAATTCTCTGTCATTTAAAAAGAACTGATCCAAACTTGAACTCAATTTGTTTCTATCCTCCTCTGTGATAAACAATATATTCAATTGGTTCAACTTATGACTCGATACAAAGCTCTGCGTAATTTCAGCACTTCCTTGGGCGAAATCGCATTCCTTGTCGATAACAAACAAGTGTCCCAGTTTATATTGTGATGTCAAAGCAGTTTGTACTGCTTTGGAGTATATCTTGGCTGGCAAGTCGGTGCTCCAGTCATGTGGACCTTTGATTGCATGAGCCTTGATTTCGTTATCCATATGTGGTGAGTTGGCATCACCCAAACGAGCTCTACCGGATCCCTTTTGCGGACGCAATTTCCGATTCGAATATGGGGAATCCGACTTCAACGTCACATAGTTGGATCCAACACGGGCACGATCTGCTTCAAAAACGGCAGCACTCCATAACAAGTCTCGCCTTGTTGGTGAATGAGTATTGAAGAACGATGTGGGAAGAGGGACAAATGTGGTTGGTTCAAGGCTTGGAAATGTTCGTAATTGGGCAAGTGTGTATTTCGGTGGTGGAGCAACATGCAACGACGAGGGTGCCTGAGACACGGGTGCCAGCTGTGTTTTGGCTTCAGTAGCTAGTCTTCGTATGGATTGCTTGAACATGTGGACAGTGGTGTATGAGTCGGCTTCGTCGACGGGTTCTTGGGGGTTTCGATGCCACTTTTGATTCTCCTAGACTTTTTTTTTTTTTTTTTTTTTTTTTTTTTACTTCGACTCTCGCACACCACTTTCCATTGGTTGCAAAAATATGCCCGCCAACAAAAAGCATCGAGATTGCTGCTGGTCGCTACAGACACTCTAATCGATATCGTAACTAACTTGGTAGTCTATGTTCTCTCTATACAGATCCTTGCGCTGGTTTGATCTTCAGCCTCTCGTCATCAGTTGCACTTTCAGCTCGGTCATTCTCGCCTTCATCATCGCTAGCAATGATAAAATCATCCAATTGTGCATCGCCAACATTCTCCCCGAGCTCTATGTCATCAATATAGTCCTCTGTATTGGCCCTCGAGTACCCATCATTATTTTTGCTTGTCAACTTACCAAATGTCTTTGCAAGAAAACCTTCCTGGTGCTCGGGACCTTCTTCATCAGGAATTTGATCTGCCCATTGCACATTTTTCCTCCTACCACTTGCTGCAGGTTTTTTAATAATTGACACAGGTCGAGACCTGTATGATGCATACAAGAGATAGACCCCCCAAAGCACTATAATCACCACGGCCAATTGAATGAGTCTTGTTACTTTATGACTAGTTGGCTCGTCGGCAGAAGTAGCTGTGGATGAACTCTTTGGTATAGACTCTGTTGAAGTGGAACTAGCGATGGAGCTTGTTGATGACGGCGTTTTTTCGGGTTTATCTTGTTGTACACTACCTTGTCGCTTCACCCCCAAAGGATACGTGACCACAGTTGGTTTGTCATCAATTGTTTTTTCATCGAAATTTCCCGTAATTATGTCAATCAAAGCTCTAGAAACATCTGGTACGTCATAAGGAACCATATGACTCGAGTTGTAGATATTAATAAATGTCAAGTTTCTCTCCTGCAACATGTAACCAACATTCTTCTGATCGTGTAGCCAGTCTGATTTTGCTTCAGCATTTTCAAAACCCTTGATTCCGTTCCATTTCAATTTGGAAATATACAGCAAAACTCCTTCGGTGTTGCAAATTATATCATTTTCCCCATTGAACAAGACTATAGGGACTTTCTTAAGCAAATCTGGAAGTAAATGAACTGCAGGAAAGGAGTCACGAGCATAAAAGTTTCTGCTTACTCTCCCACTGCACTCGTTCCAAGTTTTCAATTTTTTTAGATTCAAATCATGTTTGTTGTCGTCGTTGTTTAGGAAAGGTTTGACGTACTTTAACTCAAAGGGCCAGTTCATTCCACATGAAGGAAATGAGTCCCTCAATTTATAGTCATACATGTTGATACATTGTTGATCATGCTGAGCCAGATTGTCCTGCGTTGCTAGCAACAACTGCGACAATATATTCTCACACTCAGATGAGTCTACCTCGACTGGATTAACCTCTTCGTCATCAAAATGGGCATCAATTCCGTCGACAATCCTTTGACAACGCTCTTGTTGTCCGAGTAATTTCATAAACATTGGATTGTCCTTGGTAATCAAATTTCTATCCAAAAAGAACGGCATATACGCCAAGCTTTGTTCGTTAGGAGACACCCAGCCATTTCCAATGAGCAATCCCTTTAGTTTGTACTGTTTCTGATTTTCTTGCAAGTTTGTGTTTCTCTCGAGTATTGCTTTGGCGATGTACGGGATATATTGACCGGCATACGACTCACCAGCAAGGTATATATCGTTATCCAACTCCTCAGGGTATACTTCGTAGTACTTTTCCATAAACTTGATAAAATAAAATGCCATATCGTATAGCTCATGTACATATTTTCCCTGGTCAGTGTAACTGAAACCAGTTCCTGCTGGCTGATCCACATATACGATGTCACTCGCTTTATGCCATGACCCATTGTTCATGACCACGTTTTGCGACTTGTCTATCCTAAACGGTCCAGATTCTAGCAATGCGCCGTCCATGGATGAACACCCAGGTCCACCGTTGAGCCAAAAGGTTGTGCGTTTGTATGATGTTGAATTGACATTTTTCTTACCATCTACAAATTTCCAAAAGAAGTAGTTGGTGTTGTTTTCCGGAAAAAGTTCTAGTTGCCCCGCGTACATGAGTGGCTTGAAGTTGTCGTCGATTTTCGAAAGTCCAGGCAAGTTGGTTACCATGAACTGCTTTGCAACGTCAGTGCCTTCTTTTGGTGGTGCGGCATATATTGACCCCGCTAGTATGCAAATCACGTAAAGAACTAGATGGAGCATGTGTTTATGTGGCAGTTACTGGTAGACAATGCTGGTGAATAATGCGGTTAACGGCGAGGAGTGGTGAAATGTTTACGTGTATATGTCCAAGGGGCCGACGTAAAACTCGAGTTTTTCTTCTGGTTGGTATTTTCTGGCACATCATCAAAAAATGTCCGCGAAACTGTCGACCCTAAACATTGAGTGGGAGAGGAACACTCTGAACGCCAAACTACAAGTCTTTTCCCATTTCACAATATACAACCTTTTTATTGTTATTTTGTATAACCTTATAAGACATTGAAAACTACACTGATGCCCAAAACGCTGGTAACCAAAGCCAACTTTTTCCACCCAAGATTCCTTTCTTGAAACACTTGCAGTCTTACCCCATTTGAAGTGCTATTTATGCTACGGGTTGTAGAGCTGGCCCCAGATGACGAGCTCGAGTCACCGCTTGCTGAATTTGAGGCTGCCAATGTAGTGTCTGTCCAAGCAGACTGACTTCCAGTGAACCCCCACTGATTATAAGTGACGGAATGAGAACCAGAAGTTTTAGCTGTGTTGCTGGAGGGAGCCTGGGAAGACGAACGAGAGTCTGTGGTTGAAATGGATGTCTGTGATGCACTTGTTGGTGTCCACCAAATAGTTGTAGATTCATTTTCACTCACTGACGCTGCTGCATTAGATGGGGCACTTTGAGTTTGCTGTGACTGCTGTGTTTGCTGTGATTGCTGTGATTGCTGAGTTTGCTGAGTTTGCTGAATTTGCTGTGTCTGCTGTGTCTGCTGTGTCTGCTGTGTCTGCTGTGTCTGCTGTGATTGGTGCGTTTGTGCCTCATTTACACTGGTTGTAGTGTCTTGTGTGTTGGCCCTGTTTTGGTCACTTCCATCTAGCCCACCTAAGTTGGCTGCTTGAGTCAAGCCGGCAAGTGACATACTCAACAAAGCCGAACTTATTTGAAAAGGGCTTACTTGGATGGACATTTTTAACAGATGTAACTTTCTTTGGTGTTGTTATGTTGTGAAGAACTGAAAAAAAAAAAAAAATATAATCATTTTGAAACATCTGGGATCATTAAACTCATATTTATACACTTTAAAGAAGAGCAATGGATCAATGATGTAGGGTGTTTTACTACTTAATAGTCTGTTGATATGTTGTTTACAATCCGTGGATCAACCAGCCATCTTTTTTTCCTTCGCAGCTTACACAAAATCAGTATTTTTCCGCGAAAGTCTTAACAAGGCGCAAAAAGAGGCCTCCAAGAACATTGCAATTCGCAGTCTTGTGGGTTTAAAACGAGCCATGGCTTAGTATTCAAAAATAAAATAAAAGTCTATATATAGCTCATACTAGGCTATATACCAAATCAAAACATTTGTCCACCGCTTCTTTAGTGTCTATATCAAATAAATCGATGATACTTCCAAGCTGGTCCACTAAAAAACTAACATATCGTTGGTTATCCAAGTTGATTGCTCTGGTAACTGCCATCAACTTTAACATGTTGTCATTGTGTGAGTCTAATACCATTTTATGGGGTTTGTTGTCGTCTCCCAAGCCTTGCGAAATACCTTTCAATAAACCATAAGCCACTGAAATGCAAGCCTGCAATGCACAAGGGCTTTCTTCTGCAATAGCTTGGCGCAAGTGCTGAATAATCAAAAGTTCTGCTTGTCGTTTTGCATATGGGGCGTTTCGACTCGGAGATAATGGGGGTAGAAGGGGTATGTCCAAGAAATATATGCTCTTTGGGAGGCTTTTCTCTGGTGATCCAGGCTCGGCAACTCTAGTCTCCCCGTTTGCTATAGGTAACTTTGGTGACCTCGATTGATCAATGTTGGCAATCACAGTTTTCTCTATCAGTTTATTGTCCCCCCAAGTTGCTCTGTAATTGAATAAAGGCACCTTGCCTAGTTCAGGATTGCTTTCTTGGACTTTCACGGTTATGAGGAAATTTCTTTCATCGGATGACGCTATGCCGTTAAAACTGATTTTTTGGGATTGACTTTCCATTTGCTTCATCTTTCCAAACAATTCAATAGATGAAATGGTGATGTTGTTCTCTGTCTTGAAATTAATCTCCAAGTGTGATATGCAAGTACTCTGTATTCTTTTCATCAAAAGCTCAATCGACAAAAAAAGCCTGTCGAAGGTTGCATATCGAAGTACCGGCTCATTCCCATATTCAAATTTAGAGACAGCCGACATCTCTTTGAAAATATCCACATGTGAACCAACTCTTAACAAAGTTAATGACATTCTTGGAACCCTTTTGATACCAAGGTTGTGTTTCCTCTCGTTGACAACGTCATACTCGCCGCAACTCAATAACAATAACTTATTGATTGAATTGTCTTTACAAGGAATGAAGGGGTATAAATCAGCACACTTTTCAAGCGCTACTTCCAACTCTTGAGCATCATTGCTGAATGTGTTTGCAACGATACTCATGTCCTTTATTATATCATCCCATCCGTTCCATGAGGCTTCAATACATCCAATAAATGTTCCGCTGGCCTTTGGATTGTGCAAGTGGTCAACACCAAGAAATATGAGTGCCATTTTGTCGGTGTCATTCAAAGAGGAGCGAATGTGGTGTAAAAACTCTTGCAACCTCAGTAGATAATCAGCATTGGACAAGTTCGTTTTGTTGAATAAGGGTACTGCAATAACAATATTCAATGCAAGAGGGTGAGGAGGGGGTAAGATTTTCGCCAAGTAGAAGCTTGGCAACTCTTCCCCATGTACAAGTAGATAATTAAAACGAATCAAGTTCAGGGGCACGTCAACATTGTACTGAAGGTCCAACCAACATGTGCTGGTGAATTGAAACAAATTGGTGTTGGGCTGTTGATTCTCCTTTACTTTCTGCAAGACATACTCCCATTTTTCTGTAATTGTTTGGCTGAACTGATTGCTGAGGTACAACTCGGGTAGGGAGCTGTCAGTTAGATTCAAATTTAGCACACCATCAATCATTCCCACCAGACACAAATCATTTGAAATTGAAACCACACCGGCTAGGGTTTCGTCGTTGTAGACCAACAAGAATTTGCTAAATAGGTATATGCAAGATTCATCCCATACCTCCCCGTCAACACTGATCCTCATTTTATCGAAAGCAATTAGCTCTCCTAGCTCACCATTCAAACTTAAACGTTCTATTACGTAATGGGACACTTTCCATTTCAATTTCAAATCAGACGGATTGAACTGTGAGCTTGAATTGGAGTAAATGGGGGGCGGTTTAATGTTCAAAACGTAGCTAACCTCGTTGTTTTCAAAAGGTTTGATTGGGTGCATTTCGCTTGTGCAAGTTATGATGGGCAGAAAAAGTAATGGCTCGCAGTCTACTTTACGTGCTGAAGTGGGTGGCGTGTGAAGCTGATTGTTGATAATTTGGTCCGTTGGTGTACTAATCAACGGTGCTGAGGCATTTTGCAGTAAGATGGGGGTGTCCATTGTAGAGTCAGTTTCATCGTCATCGTCATCGTCATCGTCACTGGATTCGTTGTCTATTCCAGTCATTGTCAGTGTGGAGCCGAACGCACCAAGATAAACATCTTCGTCAACCACATTGGTGGATGCTTTACAGATATCGCAAATGGGTAATTGCTTTCTGTTTCGTGGGTCGATAAGCATCATAAAGCAATTCTTGTGACACAAGTGTTCACACAGAAGTGGTATAATGGTCTCTCCGGGTAGAGTGAGTTGTATTGAGTCCTGGCAGAAACAACATATCTGTCCATTGTGCCGCTTTGATGACTTGATTGGTTTCTCGAGAAGGTGACCGACAAAAACATCCATTTGAGGAGTTGGGGACATTCCAAAGAGTGGCTTCTCCTTTTTCAAGTCAACCAATTGAGCCAAAGTGGAAGGTTCAAATGAGGGGGCCTGTTCAATTTTAGGATTTTTTTTCAAAATAGTAACTGCCTTGGTACTCTTGTCTCCATTGAGCTCAGTGCTAACGAGTAGTGGGTCGACATTTCGAAAGGAAGTATTCCTTAGCTTGTCAACCAATGATGATCTTTTGTTCGACATGGGAGGAGATGGTTGTGATGGACTGTTTCAGGAAAAAAATGTACACCCGGAAAGCAAATTCAAATGACTTTTCAAGGATATTTATAATAGACTTTCAAAAAGTTTTGAGTTTCAGACAAAAAAAAAAAAAAAAATTGGGCTGATACCTGTTGATTACACAATAAAATTACACAATAAGGAAATGAAATTTTGATTAAATTTTTAACACGACGATAGCGATGTAATGGGTCACGCGCAAGGTGATTGCGTAGGGTTCATGCTGTGGGAAAAATAATGCTTCATAGAACTCGGGGAAAGTTATATCGGTGACACTGTCAATGGCCCAGTCTCCAACCGCACTCTTCCGGGCAAGGGATGAGGTGAAATAAACTATCCTTTATTATATAGAAAAAAAAAAAAAACGGAAATATTATTTTACTACATTTGCAAGGGAAAGCTTGGCTGAAATTTCCCTCGGCTTTATAAAGAAAAACTCACATCATTCAACCTCTAAACATTTAATGGAAAGCAATGTTGAGAGAGTAAGGTCAACGTAGTCGATGACTTTGGTCTAATCTGGTGATCTACCCAACTTCAATTCCTTGCTCGGATCTATCCTGCCCTACATTGTAAGAAAAAATCAAGCATTCATGAACAACCAAAAAAAAAAAAAGTCAACTACACACTGCAGGTCCTCCCCCACATCAGTGCAACAAAATGTTGGCAACTCTGGAAACTGTACTTTCAAGGATTTGCAACCAATCGACAAATCTGTCGAAATCGCCGTCTTCAATAGCTTCATTCAATCCTGGCAAGTTTTGTCCAGCATACCCGGTGTATCTACCACTAGCGAAAACAATATGCTTAAACCATGGTCTCTTGTGCAATCCCTTTGAGTGCAAAAAGTTACGTTCAAAGTATTGCAAACCTTTGTTGTGGGTTTTGATTTGGAAGTGTAACTTGATCTTTTTCCAAAGTGGCAATTCGTCATACAAATCATGCAGCTTCTGTAATTCCTTTGATTCATAATCAAACTTTTCAGTTGAGTTGGCGAGGAATTTCAATTGGTGATGAGTATGGTGGATCAAGTCGCCTAAAGTCTTGTTATGGTGATGGTGAGGATGGTGTGCTTTTCCGTTAGTCAATCCCAATTGCATTGGCTTACAAATTGGATACGAAAAGTAACCTTGAGTGATTTCATCAATGTAGTTGTATTCCTCCAAATCAAATTGTTTATCATGCCCACCAACTTTCTTGTCGAACCATTTCTTTGGCACGTTGTGGATGGTTGCTTTATAGTACTCCAATAACCCACTTGCATAATCGTTAAGATTGAAATGAATCACCTCTCTCTCGCTCAACCCTAAAGCTAACAATGCCAAAAACTTGGCGGCCAAGTTGTGATAAACAAACCCCTTATCTCCAAACTTTTCCATCCAGTGGTAGGAATCATAATTTGAATGGTAATGGTATATTGCGTCATCTTTGCCACCACCGAAGGCGAAATCAAGTGATGGAATACCCAAGTGCTCTAAAAAGACAGTATAGTCTGATCCGCTTCCCAAGGTTGGAATATGTTCTCCCTTGTGGTTTTTAACGTAATGCTCATACAAGCTGCCTCCCTTTGGGTACTCCAACTTTTTGGTGGTTTCAAAAATCAAGTCATTCAACACTGGCGACGACTCCAAGTGCAAGTTGCTTCCAACAGCAGAAACATCCACGTTCAAATAAGCAACCACTTCACGCTGATACTTCTTGGAAAAGTACTCACCCAGCTCAGTAGATCCCAACAATCCGTACTCTTCTCCGTCATAGCTTTGCAATACAATGGTTCTCTTGAACTTGTGGCCAGCTCTTTTCAAATCTCCCAATGCGCGCGCCACTTCCAACAAAGAGGAAGAGCCACTATTTGGGTCGCCTGCGCCACCTTTTATCCAAGCATCCCTGTGGTTTCCAAGGATGATGACCTCGTTGGGCTTTTCTCCCTTAATCTCACCGTACACATTCCACAATGTGGTGATCTTGTAGTCTTGTTCATTGTACAAGTTCAATTCGTACTTTGACGGGCCTGTGGAGTAGTCAAATCCATCCAATTCTCCCTTGAATCCATCAATCCTTGCACCGTGTTTATTCAACTTGCGCAAAATTGGCTTCACCTCACGGTAGGAAATGGGCAATACAGGAATCTTCCCAATACTATCATGAGGATCTTTTCTTTCAGCATCGGGCTTGGATGGGTATCCTGGGGTTGTTGGATCACCAGGTGCAGCGCCTTCTCCTCCAAGGAATTGGACACTTCCACGTTGCACAGAACTTTCTTGTCTTGCAGGTCCCTTGGGGTATTGCTCGTACCCGTTGGCAGGAGTTATGCCATTATCATCTCCGGGATCCGAGTATATCAATACCCCAACAGCACCCAACTCTTGAGCAAATTTTACCTTCAAACCACGAAAGATTTTGCCATAACGAACAACAACAATCTTGCCCTTGGCATCAACGCCATTGTCTTTCAATAGTTCAAAATCCTCTCTGGTCCCGTAATTGGCATAGATGTACTGCCCTGTAACGTTTCCATTAGCTGAATAACCCAAAAATGTGGGAACAGTGTCATTGTGTGTTGTTGGGTCCTCGTCAATGACATCTTCTTTCAATGGGGCTGTGTAGACGACTTCGCCTTTGGAGTCAAGCAATTTCAAGTCGTGGTCCTTTGGGTAAGAAACCAAGATTTCATACGGATCGATTGTTGTCTCAAAACCAAATTCTTTAAATTTTGCCTCTGTCCATTCCACTAAGCCGTAGTTGGTTCCTGCCAAGTGAGGTTCAGCTGTGTACTTTTTTGACCATTCTGGCGCCAAATTGACTTTAAGTGAATCTAAAATAACCTGTTCAGGATCAAGCTCGGGACCATCATTGATTTTGAAAAATGGGGTGCTGAAAGTGTTGAAGTAAACTACTAGTCCAATTACTGAAACCCATCCCAACACCTTTAACAAAGGACTTGTTTTCTTTTTTGGCACAACCAGAGTGTGCTTCACTGCAGCTTTTTCATCCATTGATTGAGCCATTGCAGTTGGGAAATGATGATGAAGAAGAAGAAGAAGAGGAGGAGGAGGTGGTGGTGGTGGTGGAGAAGAAGGAAGAAGAATTTTAGAAAAATGAATTGGATTGCTGTCTCAGGAAAAATGTATGTTGGAGGAGGTGGTGGAGGATCTAATTTGTGCCGTGCAAGTTGTGGCGTCACTGTGCGGTGCAGTGCATGCAGTACGATGTCGCAATAAAATGCGACACTGCAAGAAAACACGACACTAATTCCTATCTCATCGGTTGAAATTTCTTTTCCACTTCCTACGATGCATATAACCTGTATTCATCTCTTTAATATCAACGTATAAGCAGCCATGGCGGGAAGAAATGCTATAAACAAACCAAAGATCAAAATGTTGGCACATAGTCACGCAAAATCGCTCAGCAGGAAGAGGTCATTGAGAAACGCCATCCAGACAAGGTCATCCACATCACGTTATGCTCCAAAAGGAACTACAGCCCCAAGACCAACCGATTCCAAGGCTGTTGCATTATATACAGGGGAATCACCAGCACCAAGCTCGGTAATGACGACGAATACTTTATCTAAAAAAAGGGCCAAGAAGATTGCCAGAAATCAAAAATACTTTACCAAGAAGCAAGAGGGGGATATCTTGATGAGTATAGATGCGGATTTGAAGAATTCAAATTTAGAACAAACAAAGAAAGCGTTGTGGAGTTTGATAGAGCTGCGTGAAAAGAATGGGCCTGCAGTAGTTGCAGATGGCGAGGGAACCACTTTGGGAATTCAATCATTTTGAGAGAGGGAAAGATGCAATTCAATTGGGCCCAGTCATTTTATTTAGTTTACAATTTTTTTATTCACATCTATTCGTTCTGTTGTACCCCAATCTATCTATTTTTCTCTAGCTACTATACTTTCGTCAACTGTCTTTTTCAAAAACTGAGTAACTTCCTTTGGATCCTCGGCTTTGAAAACAGAAGTACCAGCAACAATGACATTTGCTCCAGCGTAGGCAGCAGGCTTGACTGTCTCTTTACCCAATCCCCCATCGACCTCAATGTCCAAATGAGGGTACTTTTCCCTCAAAGTTTCCACCTTGGGCATCATATCCTGCATAAACTTTTGTCCTCCAAATCCTGGCTCAACAGTCATAACCAACACCATATCCAAATCTTTGGCATATGGATAAACAGCCTCTACTGGTGTGTTTGGTTTGATTCCCATTGCAGCTTTCAATCCGTGTTTCTTAATCTTTGCGATAACAGCTGCCGGATCCTTTGTTGCCTCGTAATGGAAGGTGTACGAATCTCCTCCTGCTTTGGCAATGTCTTCGATCCATTGCTCAGGGTCAGACACCATCATGTGGCAATCAAACACAATTGGCTTACCGCTATCTCTTGGAAATTGCTTTCGCAAACTTTCAATCACTGGAGCACCAAATGAAATGTTGGGGACAAAATGTCCATCCATAACGTCCAAATGTAACCAATCAACGTCCCCAGTGTCGACGACTTTTTTACAATTGCAACCCAAGTTGGCAAAATCAGAAGCAAGAATCGAAGGTGAAATGATTGACTTGACCATAGTGGTGTAGTGAGTATGAGACACAGCAAAGAAGAGGCAAACGCGGGTAAACTTTTTTTGTCCAACAATTCAAATCAGAACTGCGAGTGAGATTTTGTTAGAAAATATCAGCCAAAGCCAAGAGAGTAGATTTTCAGGTAAACTAGTCGGTAAGCTGTATAGTCAATTGTAATTTACCTCTTGTTTTTGATCTCTTGCTATTGGCAGATCTGTCGCTCCTTTGTGGCCAAGTTGTGATCTACTTTCACCGGGTCTCTCTAACTCCTGCGCCTTTAATTGAGAAAAATATCGGCACCAAAATTTTGAACGTTTAGGACTTTTCCTGAGAACCATAGATGTCTGAAGAACACACCCCATCCACTGAGGGAGCTTCCTACTCCGAACAGATTCTAGAGTCAGCAAGAAGGAACAACACCGAGCTCTTACTTCAAATCAAATCGGAATTGAATAATGACCAGGAGAAGCTTTCACAATTGATCAACGATACCCATGAGGTAATATCCAACAATACTCCATTACACATTGCTTGTCAGTTGGGCAACTGGGAATTCATAGATATTGTATTGGATATTGAAGGGGTGGAAATTGATCCGCAAAACAGAGCAAAGGAAACGCCATTACATCTTGCAGTAAGGTACACCACAGATGAGCCCGATCATGGATATTTCATTGTCGATAATTTGTTGGATGCTGGGTCAGATCCAAGAATCAAGGACAAGGACGGACTCAAGCCTAGAGATTATGTAAATAAGGACAATGAAAAATTGTTACAGTTGTTGGAGAGTGCTGAATACGCTATATCAATGGAGGATACCGACCAGGAACGATTGGCAGCATTTGCAAAGGAACAAGAGGCGGAAGATGGTTCAGCCTCGGGATCAGAATCAGATTGAAATAGCTACATAGAATACACATCTACAAATCGAAATCGTCAATGGATGTGGGTCTCCAGTTTTGTAGTAAATCTCGACCTTCCTGCTTTATTGCTTGTCTCGTGTTGTGGAATGCTTTAAACTGGCTGTACCTTGATTCATTCACTTTGCAAATACGGGTGAGCTTTTGTAGGAAGCTTTTATTGCTTATGATGCTCTCACCACCCGGTTTTGGCGCTTTATTTTTGATGAATGCCCCATTTTTGACACCATTATTCAACACTTGGAGTAAGTTGTGTGGCACAATGTAGAGCAAAGAGAGTGGACTTGGCTCCTTTTCATCAGACTTGTGAAATTCATAAGCTTTAGTTTTGTACTTGAGAAGCTTTAAATAGTGTCCATTTTCAGTTTGGAAACGGTTCTTAAAACATCGGTCAAAATCAGCTGTGTCCACGTTATTCACAACCAAATACTCTAGATAAATGGGCTCGAAGATATGCGAAGTTGCTGCATTGCATATTCCAGTTAGTTGTTTCAAGCATAGTTTGTCGGAACACGACTTTGAATAGGAAATAAGACTATCGGTCCTTCCTGGCTTGGTTCTCACCACTCCCAATTGATCAAAATGATTTCGTCCCCTATAGAAGCCCTCTGTCAGAGATGACGTCCAGGAATCGTTAGATTCTAGCAAAGACGATAGATAGTTCATCGAAACGTCTCCACAAGGAGGCTCACTTACAAACAAAGCCAATTTCGCATCCTTTCGAAATCGAACCTGATTGTGATACCTCTCAACCCATGCTGATGGCAAATTAGACGCTTCCTCCAAGAGAAAGTAATTGAAAAGCCTCAATGCCAAAATCTCTGCGTGCATGTCATGCACTACCTTTCCATTTGAATAGCTCCGAACCTTATCTGGCAACACTTTGACTCCTGTTGCCAAGGTTATGGGAGTAATTTTGCTGTCGCTGGTGATTGCAACTACACCTGCTAGCACAGTCCATTCCTTGACTCCGTTCGAGCGTGTTGTGGGCTTCCCCGACTTTGCATTCAACTTATTAAACTCGGTGATCACGGCTGTTGCGATATCGCTTCCCAATTCATTGACCATTTGCGGTGGAAGGTTGTCACAAACATTTTTTTTTGTCCGCTCAAATTTTTCAAGAGGTGTATCTACATGAATGGCCCAGTTATGATGAACCTTTACAAGTAAATGCTTCATTCCCAAATATTCATAAACACTCCTCTTCTGATCTATGTAGCACTATTTCCTGCTTCTTCTAACCAAGGCACCTATTATTCCAACCCCCACCGCCAAAACACCACCTGCAACGCCTATTCCAATCAATCCCTCCTGTGCAATCTTGTCATTAATATTATCTAATAAGCTCAACGCCTGTGAGTTTTCCGGTTCCGACTTCAACAAGGTCTCAACGTAGCGTTTGGCGTTGGTGTAATCGCCCAATTTGAATGATCCCAAGCTCAAGTAGTACAATACCTCTCTTCTCATGGAACTCTCTTGTTTGTATAAGGTGGTAAGTATCACAACTGCTTCCTGCTGGTGTTTCCGCGCTGGCGATTTCAACAAACCCCATGCATAATTGAATTGTGTCTGTGGGGATGGTTTCAGTCCTTCTGATTTGAGTTGATTGCGGAGAACATTCAACTGTTCCTCCGAAAGTGGTTGTTTTAGCTCTTCCAACGCTGGGTATACTGATCCGAACATGCTTGTGTAAGAGAACGTGTGGCGAGGCGAAGGGCAGCAAAGGAAAGGAAAGGAAAGGAAAGAGAAGGGTGATTGATCAGACTTCTTTTTCTGCGCGCATATATAAATTACGCTAAAATGTCCTGTACCCCAGACAACACTATGAGTAATACGATTCATTATAAAAATAGATATTAGGTGCCTCTTTCATCCACCTATAGCTCTGAGTGTGATACTCCACACTCTTTCCAAAGTTCTGGTCTTCCCCACAACTCAAAATAGCCAATGACTTAAAGTAGTTGTTGCCTGAATACTCGATGCTGGCGATGTGTGTTTTGAGTGTTTGGTCAATATCCATAGGTTGAAAGAGTTTGGTGGGAATAGAGTGAACCATTGAAATATTGCTCGAGTTGCATTTTTCCACTTCTGTACTTACTCTCACCGACACATCGTTTTTGTCGCCGTTATTCTTGAATGGATTCAACTCTATGGGTTGGTCATTTACAGCTTCTCCTTCAATGAATACTATGAGCTTTAACTTCCCCAATTTGATAAACTTGATTAACTTACCAAGTAAATGGCTATAATAGCCAGTCATTTTAACAGACTCCACGGACCAATAGACGGAAATAATAGGGTGTGCAGGTCTCCCCAAGTAGTCTTTGTCGACTTCTTTTCTGTCGATAGTTTGTAGCAAGTCCAAGCATACAGGTAAAATGAATGAAGCACCAAGACCTTGTGCTAGGAATGCCACCGAATCAAACGTCAACAACGGTTGGCATTTGCCTCCCAGGGGACCCCTGAATGCTACCTTCCAAATAACAGTTTCCGGGTTGACGATTTTTCTGTACTCTGGCAATGTTGCGGTAGCATTTGGCGACGATGTACTCTTCAACCTCAACCTCTCCAAAACAGGTCTCAAATTCATGAACAATTTATCCAACTTTGGCCTGTACCAAAGAATATAATCCATTTCTGTCTCCTCCCCGGCCAATTGTTTATCTCTTAGTTCGATAAATTTTTCAAACATCTTTTTAGTGAAGCCATTTCTTTTTCTCACAATAACAACCATCTTTCCAGAATCGGGCAAGCTTGCAATCATAAAGGGATGATGCTGAAAAAAGTCAATCTTTCTAACATTGAAATAGATGTGCAGACCAGCTTTCCAATTTCCGTATTTGAACTTGATCAATCCAAACCACGAGTTGGGGTTAAATTTGTGATTAACCTTTACAGGTATGGACACTTTCATAATATCATCATCCAACATCTCAAACTGTGACCAACCTTTAGTGGGCGATTTCTTACTATGCACAATCCCATATATACGTCCAATAACCTTGTCGAGAACCAACAAGTGTACACCAATTACTACCATGGCTTTAGCGCTATTGTTATGAAAGAATGCCATAAGTAGCATAATAAAAGATTGAACACGATGATTGACCATTGATTGGTCGTACCAGTATTTACGGATAATTTTGACATTACCCAACGCAAGCAAGACAAAAGTGGCGTATGCAATAATCCCATAAACATTCTGGGGATATTTTGGATGTATACTTGACCATTCGGGTTTGTCCCAGTAGTAAAAAACAACAGCTACGTGGAATGTAACAACAACAAACATCATAAATGAAAACCAAATGTGAAGAAAAGTCGTTCGTTCGTAAGTGAGGCCCGTCACACCAGTGATAAAGTCACCTTTGGTAATCAAAAGGAAGATTGCTGGAACCTGGCCAATACCGACTCTGGCACATCTCTTAGCAATAGCAAATGTCTTTGGTATATATGTGATGTCGTGGGTGTCAACGTAACACAACTTCCCATTCAATAGGATAAAAAACAAAAACAATATCAAGACACTGGGCTTATAGTATATCTTTCTGCTCCTTATTCTCATAGATAAAGTGTAGTTTAATGTGTTCCAAATGTTGAGCAAGACAAAGTATAGTTTAAACCTGTTGGATTTGACGAACCTCTTTTGTCTCAATGTTCGTGGAATCCAGAAAAAGATGACACCATGCACAGCAAAAATGATCAAGCTAAACGCACAGCTGATCCATTGATTTTTGGTATTTCTGTCTTTTTCAACTAACTTTTGAAGTTCAACCGGTAGTTCACTCATGGTGATGGAAAGAAAAGATGCAGAAGCTGAGTTATGAGATGAGACATACTGGTTGGATGTTATATGTGTTTGTCAGATTGACGTCAGAGAATAGCTGAAGGGTGATTGCGCAAGACCTTTTCTGCCCAGAAATGTAAACGCAACTTATTCCTAAAAAAGCACCACCCGGAAAAGGATCCAGAATGCACATCCTAAGAAACACTAGACTTTCTGATGCAATTTTGTTTTGTTTGTAGAATTTTTTTCTTGTCATTGCAATTAACGATAAAGCCGAAGACGCAAATTGCAACACAAAGCTTGAACCCTCAACCTGAGTCTGGACTTAAATGCGCGCTGTTATCGTTTCGAACACTTTTGCAGCACTGTGATAGACCTGAGTTGTGAAAGCTCAGAGCAGCAACCCTTAGCTCATCAACCAGTAACATTTAACATTGATGGCTATCGTTTGCAAAAAAAAAAAAATAAATAAATAAAAGTGTGCCCCGGCTATGCCCCGGATGTACCGTCGTACATATCGGTATCAACATCAGCCGCTTAAATTACTTCAATGATCCAAATTTTCTTGGAAATATTTCTTGTAATCACTTTTGTTACTCCATTTATTGAGTGACAAAAAAAGATCAATTTTATCAGATTGATCAAAAACATAAGCAAAAGTCCCCCCCCCCACACACACACACACGCACACACGATTCTTCGCTTGTTACAGACAATAAGTCTCAATTAAGATTGTTTTGAGTTGACCAGTAGATATGGTGGTGCCAACAACCTGAATAAAGTCAAATGCAAAAGTTATCTCTATAACACAGCTCAACTATTCAATTGAATCGATGGAATGGATGATTAGTCCCATGAAGGATAACTTTCGTGGTGATGGCAGATTCTGTAGTACTCGTCGGAGTCTGTAATTCCGATGTAGTCTGTGTGAGCAACAAAAGTCACTTTTGCGGGTTGGGGGTGCAGTAAATTGTCTAAAATCAACCAATAGCATGAACGCCAGTAGCGGCTCTCCCTAAGAGGAGTGTAGTTTTTCTTAGCCTCAGTCTAAACTTTAATTACTCAACATAGATCTCAACTGTAGAGCTTTTTAGTCGAATTGATCATCATATGGTAAACAAACACGAGATGGAGAGAAAGAAAGAAAAAAAAAAGAGTTTCTTACGTGAACAAAACATCTGCATATTCTACCCATCTATGTTCCACTTTGTGATGTCTATCACGTGTTCTTGATCCACCAAGAGTAACCGGAGACACAATTCTGAGTAGTTGAAATCTCTGCAATCTTGAAGCAATAATGAACTGTCATGGATTGTGAAATGTGTGTGTGTTACTACATTGAAGGAAGGGCTACTCGTGAACCCTTTCTCTAGGGTTTCAATTTGAAAATTTCATTCTATTTTCTTGCTCCCAAGTCGATTACAGAGATGAGCTTCTTGGCCTTGAGTCGCCCTTTTACATCCAAGAGTATTACAGATAAATTCGTGGCGAGCAGAGGTTACAAAGTTGTTATTTCAGTTCTATAAATCCCCATCTACCGCTATTTCATTGGCACTAGAAGCTTGTTATTCCTCATGAGTAAGGTTGTATCGCTTTAGGAACAAAGTTGTCTAAAAAGAGATTAAACATGGGCCGTGGTACCAAAGTATAACTTCTTTCAAGACCAAGCATCAACGGGAGGAAGTCTCGTTTTGAGTCGTATTTGGACCTTAGCACACAAAATCATTTAGATGCGAAATCGCTTCTCATTGGATGCATTTTCAAAATAGCCGGTAATTTCCAAAGGCATTCTAACCTTAATTTCTACTACAACGAAGTTGCAAAAATTAACTCACCAATGCTAATTTATACATGGTGGTCAGAGTAAAAGAACACATAAAATGAGCAGCGTTTCCATTATTTGGGCTTGAAAAGTTGTTACAAGTATCATTTTACAACAAACTCAACCACCAATATGAGGTTCTCGTTCGTCTATTCCTTCGCTTCGATACTATCACTTGTCATTGCTGCTGACAACGACACCATTACTACCGCTCCAACTACAACTGCAGACAACCCATATGCTACTTATCCAAGTGTTCCAAAGACTGCCTCAATCAACGGTTTTGCTGATAGAATTTATGACCAATTACCAGAGTGTGCCAAGCCATGTATGTTCCAAAACACAGGTGTGACCCCATGTCCATACTGGGATACCGGGTGTCTTTGTATCATGCCAACGTTCCAAGGAGCAGTTGGATCATGTATTGCACAAAACTGTCGTGGAGAGGATGTACTGGACGCCAGGTCGTTGGCCACATCAATCTGTTCCAGTGCTGGAGTTTGGGATCCTTACTGGATGCCGCCAGCTAGTGTTACGTCGATGCTCGAGTCTGCTGCTACCGCAGTTCCAATCAGTTCCACTATGGAGACCCCATCTTCGGAGGCACCTTCATCAAATGGGGAAATTTCGTCTACTGTTGTGCCATCTGCTGAATCATCTGTTGTGCCATCCACTGACCCATCCACTGACCCATCCACTGACCCATCCACTGACCCATCCACTGGCCCATCCACTGACCCATCCACTGTCCCATCCACTGTCCCATCCACTGACCCATCCACTGTCCCATCCACTGTCCCATCCACTGTCCCATCCACTGTCCCATCCACTCTCAGTAGATCTACATCAGTGTCTTTTGTTGAAACTACTTTACCTACTGAGTCAGCTACCCGGGGTGATCCATTTGTAATCTCAGTCTTGTTTAACGGTGAGGTAACCACTTTTGGGTCAAACAGTACCCATATCAAGTTGTTTGATGGTGCTGAGGCTCAATTCACAATTATTGACGGTTTGCTTCAAGTTGGTGCTTCTGGATATGTCCAAATTGGTTCAGCTGGAGAATTGAATGTTGGTGATATTGACAGCGCAACAAGCGGTTGGGGACTCGAAAACATTTGGGTTACATTGACTCAGTCGTCTTCTGCAAGGTTTGTTAAGCGTGACAATGAAGTTCAATTCTTTGCATGTCCTGCTGAAGTTGGTTACGATGTGCGTGTTGCTGATGGTGAAGGATGTACTGCAATTGATGCTGTTGTTGGACCTTTGTCGGGCTCCCAATCTTCAACTATTGAAGCATCAAGTACTACAGTATTGGCACATGGAAGCAGCAGTATTGATGATGCGACGAGCTCATTGGAGCTTAGTGAAACAAATGAATCTGTCACTTACTCATCAGATTCTTCGCGAGAGTCTTCTTCCTACCCAGCATCGTCCACTGTTGAGTCGGAGATTACAACAACTGATGACGAGGGAAATGCGTTTGTGTTAACCACAACTGTTCTTGTAACTAAGGTTAGTGAATATTGTGCGCAAGAGTCTGCCAACTCTGTCCAAAGCGAAGCGCATGCAGCCCAAACAAGTGCGGCTGCAGTTCAATCTAGATGTATTGAAAAGCAACAAAGTATTGTTACTGTTATTGTGTCGTGTGGATCTGCCATTTCATCTTTGAACTCAGTCAAGTCGAGTGCCGAGCAAGTTACAAAGACTGAGATTGTTCATAGTTGTGAAAGTGAAATCAGTTCCCTCCATTCGGTTGAGCAAGAAGCACAAAAGACATTGGAGGCAGTTGCATCTGAATATGAGTCGGCAGTTTCGGTACAGCAATCAGCCGCACAAGTTCAAAAGTCAGCTGCGCAAGTTCAATTGAGTGAAGCTGAATCGCAGCATTCATCGGAGGCTGTTGCGCATGCACAGTCTGCTGCTGCTCAAGCATACACTGCTGTTATTGAAGCGTCGCAAGCTGTGTCGGTTGCTTCGATGGCTAAAGAAACTGTTGCTGCTGTTGCTAGAACTGCCCCTGGTGTACAAGAGACTGGTAGTGGTGTTGCTGTTGTTGCTGCTCAACAAGATGATCTTGGAGAAGGAGAACTGACGCAAACTGTTGTTTTAACTTCAATTGAGTCAGCTGCTGCTACCGGTCATCAAATTAGCCAAGAAGCAGCAGCAGCAGCAAGAGCAAACTCATTGGGCTCCTCCTCCTTGGAGTCAGAGACTAGCAATGAGACACAAACTGTTGCAGCAGCAAATGCTGGATCTAAGTCGTATGGATTATCAATGAGCTTGATGAGCACCATTGTTGCCTTTGCTGCTTTGTTGATTTAGGTTGATGAATGGTTTGAGTTTTTTCGCTGTTTTTGGAAATCACACATTTTGGATTTCAAACTTCTTTTGCTATTTCTGTTCCATTTTTTGATTCCGTCTTTCGGTTTTTGAGATTGAGTTGGTTGTTCAGAGGCGAAGGGTGGCCTAGTTGAGTAGATACTTGCGACCCTTGAACTGTCCTTGTGGCTAAAGAGGTGAAGATTATTTTCTGTACTGTTTATATTTTGTACTATCATTTCGGTCTATATAGTTTTTATGTGATTCTTATACAATGAAAGTTAGCTGCTGCCTTTCGTTGAAAGATAAATTTCGTAAGGGCGATGGTGATGGTGAAGAAATGAAACTAGGTTTGCGTGTTAAATAAGGGACAGTGTGGATAAGTGGGTGGGGTTGATGAAAACTCTGGCCAGTGGATTGAGCCTAATTCAAAATATTTGGTCTAGACTCTTTTTTGGGGATCTTTTTTGTGTTGCACACAAAAGAAGTGCAATGGTTTGTTGGAAAGAGATTGTAAAGTGTGGAATACGAGAGTAGCAGCAACAGATTGTGTAAAGTTGACTGTGCCACGTGGCTCTCACGATGATGACATCTGTGTGAGGCTATACGGTTTCTCCAATTTATTTGGCTCTCAATGATCTGCGTGTTTCTTTGTTTATTGTCTCATTTACGAAAAGATATTGGATCCACAAACAATATTTTATGGATTGTGATAGGTGTCAAGTATCAATTGACGTGGAGGACACAGTAGATCATCTGTCTGCTAGCTTGTCTTTCTATTGTTTGTTGTTGTTGTTGTTGTTGTTGATGATGATGATGCTTCTATTTTGGTGACAATTATATTGCAAAAATCTGTGGCGGTGTAGCAAAAAAAAAAAAAGTGGGGAAAGGATGACCAAATATTCGGAGTTTTAATTCATCTAGACAATGATTACAGCAGAATAAGAAGAAGGCTTAGTTTGTTATCCATCTCAATCCCCCTATTCAGAGATGTATAGAAGCAGTGTATGTATACTGTGTGCTCTGTGTATTGTGTAAGTATGTCTTATCAAGTGATGACCAGGGTGGAAAGAATGAATGACTCAAATTACACACACTGACTGACTGACTGACTGACTGACTGAGCAAAATAAAAAAAGATTTACGACACAAAAAAACTATACAAAGATACACGACCTATACACACACGCCAAAAATAAAACAATAATAATATATATCAACACGCGTATCGTTGTCTCAGAAACTACACATCCGCACACATCCCATGCTTGCGAATCGAAGTACTGAAGTCTTTTATAGGATTTTTGGCAAATTATTGTATGTGTGGAATACAGACTCACTATATGGACTGTTTACAGAGTGATTTGAGAGTCAGAAGTACGATGTGTCTATAGTACGTGTAACTCTATCAGACACGTAGAGATGAACGCTACCTTACAGTAGAAAAAATTTTCTTCCTCTCTCTTTGTCTCTGTCTCAATTTCTTCTTAGACACATATACACGCACTTGTAAACAAGGAAGAACAAGAAGCAGAAGAAGGAAAAAAAAAAAAGACAAGACACACACACCAGAAGAGAAAGAGATAAACATATTACAGAGTACACACACACACATACATATACACATACACATCAACACACACGAGTCTTCTACAACATCAACTACACCACATTCTTCTAGTACTACCTACCATTAGCATCAGTTCTACTTTATTGTTTAACAGCATTTTCAATTCCCTTTTTTTTTTCAACCACCACACAACTCACCTCCCCACATCCACCACACTACCACCAACAACGCTCATATCACTTTACCGCAGTCTTTATTGGTCCTCCTCCTTTCCCCCTCCCCCCCTCATTCCTTCGACATCAACCTAAGTCCCACGCCCTCTTATCTTTGTGCCAGCTTCATTCTACTTCATAAACTTCACCTTATTAACAAATGAGTCAGTCTCAATCTTCTCCCAACAACAGAGGGTCCATATTTGGATGGGCAAAAAGCTTGAGACGCTCAAACTTGTTATCCAACGAGTCTGTTAATGAAATCAGCGACAATGACTCCATTTCAAAGTCTCCTACAAAAGCAAATTATACCTCGCCTCATCAGCATCACAGCCCGTTGAATATACCGAATGCAAAGACTCACAACAACACTCACGCGAATGCAGACTCCCCAAACTCATTCTACCAGAACCAACAACAACAACAGCTGCAACAACTGCAGCAACTGCAACAACTGCAACAACTGCATCACCTGCATCACCACCATAACCTCGGATCAAACTTTTTTGGATCTTCTCCAACGGGGTCCAGTCACCACACCGACTTTTTACGCCCCCTACTCAACCACAAGTCTAGATCTACAAATAATGTGTCCAGAGTTAGATCAAACTCCTTGAACCAATCTGAAAGCAGTATACGTCAGCACAGAGACTCGTTTTTGCAAACCAATGCACTAGTTGATGAGAATTCTAAATATTTCGGGGTTCCTTTGCAACAGGCCTTGGATGAGGCATCGGCAAAGATTTCCATTCTCACTGGGGATCAGTCTGATGGCTTGAAATATGGCCAAATTCCCATTGTTGTGGCCAAATGCGGAGTATACTTGAAGAAAAATGGACTCAATGTGGAGGGTTTGTTTAGAGTTGGAGGCTCTTCCAAAAGAATCAAAGACTTGCAGGTTATATTCAACACTCCACCATCTTTTGGTAAGCAGCTAAACTGGGATGGATACACAGTTCATGACGCTGCATCAATTTTGCGAAGATATTTGAATGCACTTCCCGAACCACTAGTTCCATTGGATATGTATGAAGAGTTTAGAGAGCCATTAAAGAATAGGCAACGAATCATTAGTTATATGCAATACAAAGCTGAGAATCCGTCAAAAAGTCTTAAACATGCCAGCGTGGAGGACTTGTCTAGTGCTTCACAGATGTTGACTGAGGCCAATGTGGAAAAGTTTAATGACAATGGGGTTAGTTTCAGAGATCGCAATGATTCGAATGTATCGACGCATCCAACAAGTTCAATTAACCAGGCAAGTGAGCAGCCGCTGCAAGTGCAGCAACAACCATTGCAACAACAACAACAACAACAACAACTGCAGCAGCAACAGCTATCAACGGAGCAACAACAACTGCAGCAGCGTCTTCCACTGCAATCACTCGTACGACAACCCACTCAGGACGAAATTGACCTCAAGAACAAGAAGAAATCCAAAAACTACAAAAAGCTCACAAGAGATGTTCATGCAGCAATCGACGACTACAAGCACTTGGTTGATGATTTACCCACAGCTTCAAAGCAATTGCTATTTTACGTGTTGGACTTGTTGGCAATGGTGCGTAATCATCTGAAGGAGAATTTAATGAGCTCGAGAAATTTAGCTGCCATTTTTCAACCGCTGATACTTTCACACCCGAGTCATGATCTTGACCCTGAAGAGTATGCTTTATCTCAATATGTTGTGGAGTTTTTAATCCACTACGCTTACAAGCTTTTGCCCACTCATAACCCTGGTTCTTCAGGCAGCAGTGGCAACGAAGAGGTCGCTGCATCCGTTGCGCCTCCACAAGCATCGCAAAGCACCGTCACTTCCACAAGCACAACTCCATTGGAGAGTTCGGCCTCGCTATCAAAGAACGACCTACTGCTGAAAGTACCTCCTATAGGAGAGCCTACGCCTACGCCTATACCTCCACCTCCACCTGCATCTGCATCTGCATCTGCATCTGCTGCACCCCCACAATTTAATCGTCGACATTCGAAAAGTTTGAGCTCGGCCGGGAACCATGAGGATTTGGTGGTGGGGTACAAACAGAATGTCACTGGATCCATACCATTTGAATCAGATGTGGATTACGAAATATCTGATGAAAACGACATAGGTTCTGATGTTGAGGAGTCGTATTTCACGCAAACGAGGTCGGCTAATGCTGCAAGTCCAATGAGAATAAATTTTGATAACGAAAGGGCTGTTGCGAAGCCAGAAGAACCTGTTGTTGCTAATGAAGAGCCCGTCATTATTGTTACAACGCCAAGCTCGGGACCTCGAGTCTGAATAGGGTATTTTGTTCCTGTTCCTGTATTTTGTTCCTGTTTCTATTTCTGTTCTATGTAAATGTATATTTTTGTATATTCTGTGATTTTTGATTATTTTTGCGTGCACAAAGTTTTGTTCATTGGGTTTTTTCATTTTTCGTCCAGCTGGGAGGAACACATTGAAGTTTTTTATTTTTTTTTTTTTTCATAACAAAGGTACCTTGTCTAGTGAGATAAGACAATCATGTCCGAGGCGGAAGATAACAGAGAAGAGTTGAAGGAAGAGATTGATGACTTGTTTGGGGATGAAGAGGAGGATGAAGAGCAACAACAACAACAACAACAACAACAACAACCGCAATCACCTCAACAGAATGAGACGTTTGATGGAAGTGACGGTGAAGGTGAAGGTGAAGGTGGAAATGAAGATGTACGAGGACGGATTAACTTTGATCAATCGGGTAGTGAGGAGGAGGACTACGAAGGTGAACTTACCGAAAAGAACATTTTGGAATTGTCACTACCTCGTCATGCGCAAAGTCTGTTGACGGAGGGCACACAAATCTTGAGAACGCCAGTGCATTTGAACATTGAGCCACATCCGTTTGACCCCACTGTGTTCAAAGAAGAAGTGGAGAATAATGCTCTTGAAAGAGTAGAGAAGGGGTTGACCTCAAAGCAGATATATAACGAGCAATTAGCGGAGAAATTGATTAATGAGTCTACAGTAAGATGGAGATACCATAATTCAGGAAACGATGAGATCGTAAAACAATCTAATGCACATTTTGTCCAATGGGATGATGGGAGTTTGAGTTTGAAGATTGGTGAAGAAATGTTTGATGTCAAGAAATTGCCTACTGTGGATAATTTTTTGGTAAAGTCATACAAGACTGCGGAGATTTTGCAAACGGACTCAATCATTGAAAACACAATCAACTTGTTGCCCGCGTCTAATGACTCAATTCACAAGAGGCTAACACAGGTGATGAAGAACATACATAATAAGGACAAGATTTTGAACACTATAACAGAAGACGATCCATTGAAGAAACAGAGAATAGCAGATGAAAATGAAAAGAAGAAGTTGAAGATGAAGAGACAATTGGAAAGCAAGAGGAGATTGGAGGAGGAAAAGTTTGAAAGGGGTGAGAGTCCTAGTGTGAGAGAGAGTTCGTATGCTCGTTTTGCCAGAACTTATGGAGATGAGGAAGAAGGCGTGGGTGAGGAATACGATGAGGAGGACGATTTTGTTGCTGGAGACGAAGAGGAACTAGAGAGGTATGACGATGAGGAAGAGGAGGAGGAAGAGGAGGGAGAAGGTGAGGAGGATGACAGAGAAGAGGATGAATTTGAAAAAGGTGCTGAGAGGTTGCGTAAGTTGAAAGAAGAAGGGCAAGCAAAGTATAGGGAAAGCTCGGCCGAGGAGGAGACTAGAAAGAGAAGAAGAATTATAGAAAGTGACGAAGATGATGAATAGTGTTTGTATTAAAGTAATAAACAAAAAAAAAAATTAAGAAAAAAAAAAATTAAAAAGAAAAATAAAAAAAATAAAAGAGAAATAAAAAACTTTCGTCGATTGAAATGTGGAGTAACACGGATGTTGAAACCAACAAGACTATTACTACTAGGTGCACCTGGTTCTGGAAAGGGTACCATTTCGAAAAGACTCTTGAAAAAATTTCCTCAATTACAATACATTTCTTCTGGTGATGTGTTGAGATCTCAGATTGCCAATGGGACAAACATTGGAATCAAAGCCGAAAAGTATTTGAAAAATGGAGCATTGGTCCCTGATCCAGTAATGGTACGATTGATTAGTGACCAGTTGAAGACCCACAATTGGTTGAATCGTAAGGCGAGTTGGCTATTGGATGGATTCCCCCGTACGAGTAACCAAGCCCATCAATTGAATGATGTGTTGGATCAATATGACTCAAACTTGAATTTGGTTGTCGAGTTGGACGTTGATCAAAAAGTTATCTTGCATAGGATAGAGTCGAGATATGTTCATTTACCTAGTGGCAGGATCTACAGCTTAGACTACAATCCTCCAAAAGTGCCATTCAAAGATGACGTGACCGGTGAACCTTTGGTGAAGCGGGAGGATGACAACGCTGAAGTTTTCCAAAAGAGGTTGGACAAGTACAATGAAAAGATTGGAGCTCTACGCGAATACTATCAGGAGTTGGGCGTGTGGAGAGTAGTTTCTGGACACACTAGTGATATCATCTATCCTCAAGTTGAAGAGTTGTTGTTGTTATAGATAGCGCTACCGTATATATACATAGATGCGAATAGATCAAAGCAGAAAAGTTTAAGCAAACGCAAAACCTTTTTACTCCTTCACTCGCCAATGAAGTTCTATATCGATGATCTCCCTGTGTTGTTTCCTTACCCTAGGATATATCCCGAGCAGTATGCTTATATGAGTGATATCAAAAAGACACTTGATGTTGGAGGAAATTGTATTCTTGAGATGCCTTCAGGAACGGGCAAAACCATCTCGTTATTATCCTTAACGGTGGCGTACCAAATGCACTACCCGGAGCACAGAAAGATTGTGTATTGTTCGCGTACGATGTCGGAGATTGAAAAAGCGTTGATTGAGTTGCACAAGTTGATGGAATTTAGAGCAAAGGAGTTGGGATACGTTGAAGATTTCCGCGGCCTAGGATTAACCAGTAGAAAGAATCTTTGCTTGAATCCGTTGATATCGAGGGAGAAAAAGGGAAATGTGGTGGATGAGATGTGTCGACGCGTGACCAATGGCCAGTTGAAGGAAAAGATTGAAAAGGGTGTTGTTACAGAGGATGATCAATTGAGAGATCCTGCAAAGTATAGTCTTTGCTCGTTTCATGAAAAGTTGTACGATTTGGATCCGCATGAGCTTGTCCCGCTGGGCGTTTACTCGTTTGACGCGTTGATCAGATACTGCAAAGAGATGGGAACGTGTCCGTACTTCACGGTTCGTAGAATGATTCCATTCTGCAATATCATTATTTATTCATACCATTATCTATTAGATCCAAAGATTGCTGATCGGGTATCGCGAGAGTTGTCCAAGGATAGTATTATAATATTCGATGAGGCGCACAATATCGACAACGTTTGTATCGAGTCGTTGTCGTTGGACTTGACTGAGGATGTATTGAAACGCGCCACGCGTGGAGCAAACAAGTTGGCTGACGCGGTTGAGGATATGAAGGCACAGGATAGTGAAAAGCTACAAAATGAATATGAGCAGTTGGTTGAAGGGTTGCGCCAAGCGGAGGTGGAGAGAGAACAGGAGATGTTTATGTCGAATCCCGTTCTACCGCAAGATTTACTAGATGAAGCTATTCCTGGTAATATTCGAAAGGGTGAACATTTCATTGCGTTTTTAAAGAGGTTCATTGAGTATTTGAAAACGAGAATGAAGGTTTTACATGTTATTAGTGAAACGCCAACAAGTTTCTTGCAACATTTAAAAGAGTTGACTTATATTGACAAGAAGCCGTTAAAGTTTTGTTCGGAAAGGTTGTCGTTGTTGGTCAAGACGTTGGAGCTTACTGAGATTGAGGATTTCAATGCTTTAAAAGATATTGCCACATTTGCCACATTGGTGTCCACGTATGACACTGGGTTCCAATTGATTTTGGAGCCTTTTGAAACAGAGGGGAGCACCGTTCCAAACCCAATGCTACATTTCACCTGTCTTGATGCTTCAATTGCCATAAAGCCGGTGTTTGAGAGGTTCTCTTCTGTGATTATCACATCGGGGACCATTTCGCCGTTGGACATGTATCCTAAGATGCTAAACTTTCAAACAGTGATACAAGAATCGTATGCAATGACGTTGGCTAGGAGGTCGTTCTTGCCAATGATTGTTACCAAGGGGTCTGACCAGGTTTCCATTTCTTCGAGATTTGAAATCAGAAACGACCCCTCAGTTGTGCGAAATTATGGATCTCTATTGATTGAGTTTGCAAAGATTACCCCTGATGGAATGGTTGTTTTCTTCCCGTCATATCTTTACATGGAGTCCATTATTTCTATGTGGCAGACCATGGGTGTTTTGGACGAGGTGTGGAAACATAAACTTATTTTGGTTGAGACTCCGGATGCACAAGAAACCTCTTTGGCGTTGGAGACATACAGAAAAGCCTGTTCCAATGGAAGAGGCGCAGTGTTGTTGTCAGTGGCGCGTGGTAAAGTTTCGGAGGGAATTGATTTTGATCATCACTATGGAAGAACCGTGTTGATGATTGGTATACCTTTCCAGTACACCGAATCGAGGATCTTGAAAGCGAGGTTGGAGTTCATGAGAGACCATTTTCAAATCAAGGAAAACGATTTCCTTTCCTTTGACGCCATGCGTCATGCTGCTCAATGTTTGGGAAGGGTTTTGCGAGGCAAAGATGATTACGGGATCATGGTGTTGGCTGATAGACGATTTGCTAGAAAGAAGGCGCAATTGCCCAAATGGATAGCACAAGCATTGAATGACTCAGACACAAACTTGTCCACTGATATGGCGTTGGCCACTGCCAAAAAGTTTTTGCGGAGTTTGGCCCAACCGACAAATCCCAAGGATCAGGAAGGGGTGTCTGTGTGGGATGTCAATCAACTTGAGGCGTACCAGAAGCAGTATAATCAGGGTCGTGTTAAGGAAGAGAATGAAGAGGATGGGAAGGTTGAGGAAGCGGGAGACGAGTTTATGGATATTGATGAAGAGGATATAGATTTGTTGTAAAGAATCCGATTTTTTTTTTTTTTTCCTTTTTTTTTTTCTGTTTATTGTAGACGACAAATGTCATTAGTGTTGGAGATTACAGGCACGAATGTGAAAGTCGGTGAGAAGGGCTCGGCTCAGCCACGTGTTCTTCCGGTGCAGTTTGAACTTCCTCCGCAATTGGATTTGTTCCCGCCGCATTATCAACTTAACGATCACTCACTAACTCAAGATCAAAGAAATGAGATTGTGAAGAATCTTTCACCAAAGTATCAACAAGAGGCGAAGGGGTATGAGAGAAATTTGGGTCATTTCCTACCATTGAAAGATGAATTACTCTCTTTGAGTCTTGTTGGGAACATTGTTCATGAGGCTGTGTCCCAGTGCCTGTTGGTGGATGACTTGGCTCTTGTTGTCGACCACAATTATTCCAATGCATTGAAAAATGTGATACGCGGTAGCTTGGATGAATTGCGAGTGAAAGAGACACTTTTTCTACTGTGGTCAATTTTGGCTACGGTGGGAGCAAATGAAAGAGACGCGTTGGTGATATACTTTACGATGGAGTGTGTAAAGTTGTGCGTTGTCAGCGACTTGCGAGAAATCACCAACAAAGAGGACTCGAGAGTCAACTTGTTAAATAAAGGACAAAATCACCCTATTATACAGACGTTAATTGGTGAAGTATTGGAAGCGTCGCCAATAGATTTGAGAGCAAAACTACGAGAGAGGATAATCGTGTTGGGTGATGATAGCAATGAACATATACAATTCGATTTATCCTTTGAAAAGCAACTGTTTCAATCCCGGCAAAGTGTTGGCTGCTGGTTAGCATGCTCTTTGTACTCAAGGAGCTAGCAGCTGTAAATGTGGTCAAAGATTTGATCTAAGTTTGCGTCACCCATGATCGATTCCTCTACTTCCACATCCTCCTCCCGGTGAACAAACTTTGACCAGCAGTCTTTGGGGGACCACCATGAGTTTTTATCTTCTACGGCCTCCATTTCATATTCAATGATGTTATACAAGGCGACTTCATCCTGGTCTCGTGCTCCTTGTGAGTCCAATGGAAACGATTTTGGTGTTTGAGCAATGGGGATATTCTTTAAATTAAGGTCACTGAATTTGTCCAATGGTCTAGTCATATGTGGCTGGACTGGGACATGGACCACAGGGTAATTTGTTTCATCAAGGAGCGTGGGGAAGTAAATTTGCTCTTCTTCAAGAACAGGCGAAGTTTCGTAAAACTCATCGGCGCTGGACACGCTGGCAGGCACAATAGTACTGGGGTAGTCTGGCTTGGTGATTGGCTGCTCTTTGACGTGTGCTTGTCTTGCATTGATTGTGGATTCGACACGGGCAGGTTGGTATGTGTTGGAGTTGACTACTGTGTACGGAAACCGAGCATCTGTTGATTTTAAAGTATCCTCGTGCCTCTCCTCCAACTCATGTCTATCGTTCACAACAATGCTCTGGTCGTCCAGGTATATGTTCTCCTTCAACGACATTCTTTGAAGTTGTGAAGGAGTGTTGCAAAAAAAAAGCAAAAGAAAAAAAGAAAAACAGAAAGAGGGAGTCGGGAAATTAAAGAAAATTAGTACACACATTATTTAGCTAACGAAGTTATAGACAAGGTTTGCATTTGGGCCAACAAGTCATCAACCTTACCATCCAATACACCATTTGCATAGTCATCTCTAGAGTTTGGGTCCAAGTATTGTTGAACCTGGGCCAATCGTGAATAACCTTCAGTACAGAATCGCAACTGAATCTTCACCAAGCTTTCAAATGACGGATCGTAAAACGGAACTCGAAGAGCAATCAATTGGGGTAACTCGTTCTTGAGTTGCTCGTTTAGGTCCTCATAAATGTCCTTTGCCACGGCCAATTCCTTCTCGACTCTGGGTAACTTGGCTGCATCCTTGGCTGGCTTATCAATAAGCCTTCGCACTTTCGACTTGCATTGCTCGTAATCGGTCTTTTTATGGGCACGTTTCTTGATAGCTTCATCAATCTCAACAAAGTAATTTGCAAATTTGACTATTGGGTCCAAAACGGTCTCTCTGAAAGGACCATCCAACTGTTTCACCGTCTCTTCATCAAACTCTTGCACACTTTGCTGGTAATAAGTCGCAATACCGGAGTAAGAGGACCCACCTTGCTTTGATTCTTCGTAAAGGTTGGAGACGATTTCTGCAATCACCACCTGGGACCTTGTTACAGCTCGAATGTTGTCCAAGTATCCCTTGGCCGCCTTCTGTAGTTGCTCACCAGCCGACTTTAATGTTTTGTATCTTCGCTCCTCAACATCATAGTCCTTGTCCATGACTTTGTCTACGCTCTTGACTGTAACAGAAGCCCCGGCCCTGTTGATTGCCTTTTTGAAACCTCCCCAAGACATTGTTGTAGCGGAGGTGGTGGTAGTGTTCTTGTTGTTGTTGTTCCTTAGTTCACGACGATTTTTTTTTTATCAACGAGAAAGAAAAAAAAATAAAAAACAGTGACCAAGGCTTTGATCGGGGAGCAAGTACTAATGAGCACAGATAACGGAGACAACACTACACAAGCCAAAGGGGCTACGGGGGCTGGTTCTCAAAAAGAGAAGGTTGATCAAATTGAAAAATACAAGGAGGAGTCTTCCTTACTCATACACAACATAAAACAACTACAACAATTGAACAACAAACTCAATAACGACATCGTATACATACAAGACTACGTCAGCAAGCTCATCAAGCAGTAAAGGAGCTGTGGTGTTGGATAAAATAAGTCATCTACAGTATGACGAATGCTCATGTCATAAACAATTCTTGAAGCATCCACTGCTCTTAATGAAGTTGGTGCTGGGATCCAAGTGCCACCAAACTCGGTCAGGGTTCTCAAAGAGTATGGGGTTTTTGATAGATTTGAGGAATACGTCACTAGACCAAAGAATATCATCTTGAGGCGATATGACACAGGTGTTCCTTTGTCCACCACTCCATTGGATCCGGATATGACAAATGCTTATGGTAACCCGTACTTGTTGATCCATCGAGCTGACTATCAAAAGTTACTATACCAAGCTGCACTTGACCTCGGCATTGAATACAAGAATGGGTGCAGAATTAAGGAGGTTGATGAGAGCACGGCTACAGTTGTTTTGGAAACGGGGGAAAAGTACACTGCAGATTTGGTTGTTGGTGCTGATGGTATCAGATCTAGGGTCAGAGATACTGCTGTTGTTCCAGAGGAGACTGTTAAGCCCACCCCATCCTCCAATTGTGCATACAGAGCCACGGTATCAAGGGAGGAGATGTTGTCTGACCCAGCTATTGCTCACTTGGTGACAGATGTCAACTCCAACTGTTGGATTGGGTACAGAAGACACGTTATGGCCTACCCAATTAGGAATGGAGAATTGTACAACATTGTTATGTCGCACCCGGGACAAGCTTCTGTTGGTAGATGGAATGAGCCAGGCGACGTTGAAGAGATGAAGAACCATTACAAGAACTTTGATCCGGTTGTTCGCCAATTACTAACTCACGTAAAGGATGTGTTGAAGTGGGTGTTGGCTGATTTGCCAAAGTTGCCGAGGTGGGTGTCTCAGAGTGGTAAAGTTGCTTTGATTGGAGATGCTGCGCATGCTATGTTGCCATACTTGGCTCAAGGTGCTGCACAGGCCATTGAAGATGGTGCTACATTGGCACAGGAATTGGACAACTGTGTTTCCACTAGCGATATTGCAAAGGCTCTACAAGAGTTTGAGAAGAAGAGAAAGAGAAGAGCTGAGACTATTCAAGCTGGTGCTAAGAAGAATGGTGATATCTGGCACTTGCCAGATGGGGAGGAGCAAGAGGAAAGAGATGCCTTGATGAAGGCTAGAGACGGTGCCAATCCAGACCAATGGTCGGACAGAGGATTCCAGCAATGGTTGTTTGGTTGGAATGCATTCACAAACACATTTGAAACGAAGTTGTGAGTAGATCAGCTTAATCTTGGAATATTTTA